CGCCCGCTTAGCCCCCTCGATCCGGCCGAACAAAAGCTGTTTCGGCATGCGGTGGCTGGGCACGCGGGCTACATGACCCAGCCATCGCAGCCTTGCCCGCCGGAGTAGCTCACCAATGGGACCTTGCCCAGATCTTTCAAGGATTTGTGAGTTCCTCACACAATCCAGCCTGCAGGTTAAACCCAGGATGGATCGTAGGCAGGCTAGCCTAAATGTTTCTAACCGGCGACGATGTTCCATTAGGGGAGGGGGGGGGGGGTCCACGTTTCGCAAGCGTAGAGAGGGGATGGAATGACCGTGGCCGAGAAGACCCGAAGCTTCGTGCGGAGCGACAAACCGGGTAGCTTCAACACAGCGTTACGCAGCCGATGAAAATATAATGCCGCTCGACTGATTCGGAGTGAGTCCTCTGCGATCAACGCAGCCTCGGTCAGCCGGAGGATCTCACCGATGGGACTGTGTCCAGATCCTTCAACCCGGCCTGCTGGTGAAAATAAATAAAATAAATGAAAAATATTCGACCAGGCACCACAGTGAAAACCACCCAAGTGAGTTGGTGCACGCATACCCAAGACACAAAGACAAAGACCCCCCGTGTAGCCTTAACAGACTGTAGGGGCAAGTGCTGTTAGCGAGCACCTATTAAGGCCGGCAATGCACACGAGGGGCGTGCCAACACCACGCCCGGCCGCCTTTGTCTCCCTAGTGACGATGCTTACTACACACCGCTACACCAGGTACTACTCATTTGAGGCTGAGTCGACCTAGGGGAGGCCCGGGACCGGTTCAGATAATCGTCACTGGCGGTATTGGCCGTGAGCGGGAATCGAACCCGGGTGTGGTCGCCAGGTTCATAGCGCAAGCGTAGCGCTAACCGCTGCACCACCGCTCCCCAAGATACACACACACACAGTCGAAGAACACCCCACACACAACACACTCCACACACAACACCTCCACCCCGACTTGCCCATCACCCACACTCACTGAAGAGAGTGCTGACGTCACAGGAACGGAGCCACGCCCTCGCCTCCAACACCAGCATCGAGAGACACAAAGACCCCCCGTGTAGCCTCTACAGGTTGTAGGGGCAAGTGCTGTTAGTAGCCAGTAGCAGCAGCAGCAGCAGCTATGAAGGTAGACACAGACAAAGGTCCCCCGTGTAGCCTCTACAGACTGCTGGGGCAAGTGCTGTTAGTAGCGAGTAGCAGCAGCGCCTATGAAGGTAGACACAGACAAAGATCCCCCGTGGAGCCTCTACAGACTGCTGGGGCAAGTGCTGTTCGTAGCGACTATCTAATGAAGGCAGACACAGACAAAGGTCCCCCGTGTAGCCTCTACAGACTGTAGGGGCAAGTGCTGTTAGTAGCGAGTAGCAGCAGCACCTATGAAGGTAGATACAGACAAAGGTCCCCCGTGTAGCCTCTACAGACTGCTGGGGCAAGTGCTGTTAGTAGCGGGTAGCAGCAACCTATGAAGGTAGACACAGACAAAGATCTCCCGTGTAGCCTCTAATAGACTGCAGGGGCAAGTGCTGTTAGCGGGCAGCACCTATGAGGGCTACCGGCGCTGTGGCACACGAGGGGGTGGGTGGCTACCAGCACCACGCCCGGCCGCCTTTGTCCCCCCAGTGGCGATGTTAACGCGCCTCACCCAGGCAACTCATTTCAGGGGAGCGGTAGTGTAGCGGTTAGCGCGCTGCGCTATGAACCTGGCGACCCGGGTTCGATTCCCGCTCACGGCCACCAACACCAGTGACGATTATCTGAACGGTCCCGGGCCTCCCCTAGGTCGACTCAGCCTCAAATGAGTACCCGGTGCGGTGTGTAAACATTGCCACTAGGGAGACAAAGGCGGTCGGGCTTGGTGCTGGCCACCCACCCCCTCGTGTACCGTTCCGGCCTTCATAGGTGCTCGCTAACAGCACTTGCCCCTACAGTCTGTTAAGGCTATACGGGGGACCCCAGTCTTTGACTGGGGTTGATGTGACTGGCTGGGGTTGATGTGGCTGGGGTTGATGTGACTGGCTGGGGTTGATGTGACTGGCTGGGGTTGATGTGACTGGCTGGGGTTGATGTGACTGGCTGGGGTTGATGTGGCTGGCTGTGGTTGATGTGGCTGGCTGGGGTTGATGTGACTGGCTGGGGTTGATGTGACTGGCTGGGGTTGATGTGGCTGGCTGTGGTTGATGTGACTGGGGTTGATGTGGCTGGCTGGGGTTGATGTGGCCGGACCCACTTCAGCAACGGAAGACGGTAGTGTCGTGAACTCCGAGAGGCTAAGATCGCCATGTGGAGGTTAGCGTGAAAGTGTAAATGTTGAGTGGTGAACTCTCGCCACCACCTGCACCAGCCAGTCAGTAAGAGGCTTTGCGTCTCGTAGACAGAACCTTGGCCAATTCGTTACTAGTACATCACGAGTGTGTAGTGTATAGTGTAGTGTACTAGTGTACTGTGTAGTGTAGTGTACTAGTGTAGAGTGTAGTGTATATTGTAGTGTATATTGTAGTGCACTATAGTGTATAGTGCAGTGTATAGTGGAGTGTATAGTGTAGTGTACTAGTGTATAGTATAGTGTATAGTGCAGTGTATAGTGTAGTGTGTAGTGTACAGTGTAGTGTATAGTCTAGTGTACTAGTGTATAGTGTAGTGTATAGTGTAGTGTATAGTGTAGTGTATAGTGTAGTGGATAGTGTAGTGTAGAGTGTAGTGTAGAGTGTAGTGTAGAGTGTAGTGTCCTAGTGTATAGTGTAGTGTATAGTGTAGTGCATAGTGTAGTATATAGTGTAGTGTACCAGTGTATAGTGTAGTGTATAGTGTAGTGTTTAGTGTAGTGTATAGTGTAGTGTACGAGTGGATAGTGTAGTGCATAGTGTAGTGTTTAGTGTTGTGTGTAGTGTATAGTGTAGTGTACTAGTGTATAGTGTAGTGTATAGTCTAGTGAATAGTCTAGTGTACTAGTGTAAAGCATAGTGTAGCATATAGTATAGTTCATAGTGTAGTGTATAGTGTAGTGTACTAGTGTATAGTATTGTGTATAGTGTAGTGTATAGTGTAGTGTATAGTGTAGTGTATACTGTAGTGTACTAGTGTATACTGTAGTGTGCAGTGTATAGTGTAGTGTGCAGTGTATAGTGTAGTGTGCAGTGTATAGTGTAGTGTATAGTGTAGTGTCGTGTGTAGCGTATAGTGTAGTTTTGTGTGTAGTGTATAGTATAGTGTATAGTGTAGTGTACTAGTGTATAGTGTAGTGTACAGTGTATAGTATAGTGTATAGTGTAGTCTATAGTGTAGTGTATAGTTATAGTGTATAGTTATAGTGTGTAGTGTATAGTGTAGTGCATAGTGTAGTGTATAGTGTAGTGTTTTAGCGCATAGTATAGTGTATAGTGTAGTGTATAGTGTAGTGTATAGTGTAGTGTACTAGTCTATAGTGTAGTGTATAGTGTAGTGTACTAGTCTATAGTGTAGTGTATAATGTAGTGTACTATTGTTTAGTGTAGTGTATAGTGCAGTGTATAGTGTAGTGTATAGTGTAGTGTGTAGTGTATAGTGTAGTGTATCGTGTATAGTGTATAGCGTAGTGTATAGCGTAGTGTATAGTGTAGTGTATAGTGTAGTGTATAGTGTAACACACAAATACAGCACTACACCGGTTGTGTGTTCGAGAGAAACCCCACCAACACCACCACCACAACCACATTGACAATTTGAGCACGCCGTCTCGCCAGTCGCAACGAGCGGCATCACCAGGCGGGCGGGCTCATCGACGCGTTGACGTTCACGCGACACAACCCAGCACACATCCCGATCATCGATTGGGTAGCTCACGAAAGCCACCTTGAGCTCACCACACGGCACGCACGCGCCCATTCACGAAGTGGGTGCCTTCATCCGCTCCATGTTGCCCCTATCCGGACAGCCGGGGGAGGCTTGTTGCTAAGCGGAAATGAAACACGTGGCTGGTGATGGCGGTGGCGGGCAAGCACGCACGCACGCCCCCAGCCGCCTTTGTCTCTCCGCAGGTGGCGACGTTCATCACCATTCGCCCGCACGAGGTTACCCATTCGCAAGGCCTGACGAGGCGTCATCAGTGGCCAGCCTTGTTACAGACCAATTAAGCACTTATTGATACACCACGTGCCCATTATAAACCTCAACGTTCATCCTAAAAAGCCACTAAACACTATACACTTCAATACTACCTTGTTACAGACCAATTCATAATTTATTGTCACCACGTGCCCATTATTGACCTCAACGTTCATCCTACAAAGCCACTAAACACTATACACTTCAATACTACCGTGTTACAGACCAATTCAGAACTTACTGGACACCACGTGCCCATTATAAACATCAACGTTCATCCTACAAAGCCACTAAACACTACACTATACACTACTATACACGACACTACTACCTTGTTACAGACCAATTAAGAACTTACTGGACACCACGTGCCCATTATAAACATCAACGTTCATCCTACAAAGCCACTAAACACTACACTATACACTACTATACACGACACTACTACCTTGTTACAGACCAATTAAGAACTTATTAGTCACCACCGTGCCCCATATACATCTCAAAGTTCATCCTACAAAGTTACTATGCACTACTATACACTACACTACTATACACTACACTATACACTACACTACTATACACTACACTACTATACACTACACTACTATACACTACACTATACATTACACTATACACTACACTACTATACACTACACTACTATACACTACACTATACACTAGTATACACTACACTACTATACACTACACTCCTATACACTACACTACTATACACTACACTATACACTACTATACACTACACTACTAGACACCACACTACTATACACTACACTATACACTACACTACTATACACTACACTATTATACACCACTACTATACACTACACTGCGACCTTGTTACAGACCAACTCAGACCGTATTGGTTACCCCGTGCCAATTATAAATCTCTCAAAGTTCATCCTACAAAGTCCCATCACAAGGGAGAAACACAAACACTTAGATTTGTTTTAAATGTGCGCGCATTGAAACGGCTGTGCGCCTTACCGACATCGCAAACGCGATTCCCATTGTTTAAGGTCAGGGAGTGAATCCGCGATTCCCATTGTTTAAGGTCAGGGAGTGAATCCGCGATTCCCATTGTTTAAGTTCACGGAGCGAATCCGCGATTCCCATTGTTGAAGGTCACGGAGCGAATCCGCAATTCCCATTGTTTAAGGTCACGGAGTTAATCCGCGATTCCCATTGTTTAACGTCACGGAGTGAATCCGCGATTCCCATTGTTGAAGGTCACGGAGCGAATCCGCGATTCCCATTGTTTAAGGTCACGGAGTGAATCCGCGATTCCCACTGTTTAAGGTCACGGAGTGAATCCGCGATTCCCATTGTTTAAGTTCACGGAGCGAATCCGCGATTCACATTTTTTAAGGTCACGGAGTGAATCCGCAATTCCCATTGTTTAAGGTCACGGAGTGAATCCGCGATTCCCATTGTTTAAGGTCACGGAGCGAATCCGCGATTCCCATTGTTTAAGGTCACGGAGTGAATCCGCGATTCCCATTGTTTAAGGTCACGGAGTGAATCCGCGATTCCCATTGTTTAAGTTCACGGAGCGAATCCGCGATTCCCATTGTTTAAGGTCACGGAGTGAATCCGCAATTCCCATTGTTTAAGGTCACGGAGTGAATCCGCGATTCCCATTGTTTAAGGTCACGGAGTGAATCCGCGATTCCCATTGTTTAAGGTCACGGAGTGAATCCGCGATTCCCATTGTGTACGGTCACGTGACAAAGATCCCCCGTGTAGCCTGCAAGTAGCAGCAGCGCCTACGAAGATCGGCAAGTCGAACGGCGACCAGGGGGTGATTGGGTGACCAGCGCCAAGCGCGGCCGCCTTTGTCTCCCCTGAGTGCGACGTCGACTGCACAGCGAGACACGTGCAGCTCACACACAAAGACAAAGATCCCCCGTGTAGCCTTAACAGACTGTAGGGGCAAGTGCTGTTAACGAGCACCTATGAAGGCCGGAACGGTACACGAGGGGGTGGGTGGTCAGCACCACGCCCGACCGCCTTTGTCTCCCCAGTGGCGATATTTTTATCCACCGCACCAGGTACTCATTTGAGGCTGAGTCGACCTAGGAGAGGCCCAGGACCGGTTCAGATAATCGTCACTGGTGTTGGCCGTGAGCGGGAATCGAACCCAGCAGCTCACACACATACACAGTCACACACACACACAGTCACACACACACACAGTCACACTCACACAGTCACACAGTCACACACACACAGTCACACACACACAGTCACACACACAGTCACACACACAGTCACACACACAGTCACACACACAGTCACACACACACTCACACACACACTCACACACACTCACACACACACAGACACACACACACTCACACACACTCACACAGTCACAGTCACACACACACAGTCACACACACACAGTCACACACAGTCACACACAGTCACACACACTCTCATACACTCTCACACACACTCACACACACTCACACACAGTGACACACACACAGACAGTCACACACACACACAGTCACACTCACAGTCACACACATACACAGTCACACTCACAGTCACACACACACAGTCACACACACACAGTCACACACACACAGTCACACTCACTCAGCACACACACACTCACTCAGCACACACAGTCACTCCGCACACACCGCACACACAGTCACTCCGCACACACGCACACAGTCACTCTGCACACATACACACACACCGCACACACACACCGCACACACACACCGCACACACACACCGCACACACACACCGCACATACCGCACACACACACACAGTCACTCTGCACACACACACACACCGCACACACACACTCAGTACACACACACTCAGTCACTCCGTACACACACACACACAGTCACTCAGTCACTCCGCACAGACACACACACCGCACACACACACTCACACAGTCAATCAGCACGCATACACACAGTCACTCCGCACACACACCGCACACACACACACCGCACACACACACACACACCGCACACACACACTCAGCACACACACACACACTCAGTCACTCCGCACACACACACACACAGTCACTCAACACACACACTCTGCACACACACACACTCAGTTACTCCGCACACACACACACAGTCACTCAACACACACACTCTGCACACCCACACCCCACACACACCGCACACACCCCGCACACACCGCACACACACTCAGTCACTCTGCACACACACACACAGTCACTCAGTCACTCCGCACACACACACCGCACACACACATCACACACACAGAGTCACGCCGCACACACACACACATCGCACACACAGTCACTCCGCACTCACACACATCGCACACACACAGTCACTCCGCATTCACACACATCGCACACACACACAGTCACTCCGCACACACACATCGCACACACACAGTCACTCCGCACACACACACACAGTCACTCCGCACACACACACACAGTCACTCCGCACAAACACAGTCACTACACACACACACAGACACACAGTCACTCCGCACACACAGTCACTCCGCACAAACACAGTCACTCCGCACACACACACAGTCACTCCGCACACAAGTCACTCCACACACACAGTCACTACTCACACACACAGACACAGTCACGCCGCACACCTACACACACACAGTCACTACACACACACACAGTCACTCCACACACACAGACACACACACAGACACACACAGTCACTACACACACACAGTCACTACACACACACAGTCACTACTCACACACAGACACAGTCACTCCGCACACCTACACACACACACACTCACTACACACACACAGTCACTCCACACACACAGACACACACACACAAGTCACTCCACACACACAGACACACACAGTCACTACACACACAAGTCACTCTACACACAGTCACTACACACACATAGACACACAGTCACTCCGCACACCTACACACACAGTCACTCCACACCTACACACACACAGTCACTCCACACACACAGACACACACACACAGACACACACACAGTCACTACACACACACACAGACACACAGTCACTCCGCACACCTACACACACACAGTCACTCCACACCTATACACGGGTCGGGAAGCTCCGGGAACCTGCTGGAAGGTTCTAGAAGGGGGGCGTGGCCGGAGGCGGGGCCTGGCCACGCCGGGGAGTATATCAAGGGGGGGAGTGGCCGGAAGTGGGGCATGGCCACGCCTTTGAGTATATAAAGGGGGGCGTGGCCGGAGGCGGGGCCTGGCCACGCCGGGGAGTATATAAAGGAGGGCGTGGCCGGAGGCGGGGCATGGACACGCCGGGGAGTATATAAAGGGGGGCGTGGCCAGAGGCGGGGCATGGCCACGCCGGGGAGTATATAAAGGGGGGCGTGGCCAGAGGCGGGGCATGGCCACGCCAGGGAGTATATAAAGGGGGGCGTGGCCAGAGGCGGGGCCTGGCCACACCGGTGAGTATATAAAGGTGGGCGTGGCCGGAGGCGGGGCCTGGCCACGCCGGTGAGTATATAAAGGGGGGACGTGAGCGGAGGTTCGGGGCTGTCGTGGGGGTCCCGGGGTTTTGGTTGCCGTCGCCGTCTTCGCCGTCATCGCCTCTCTCCTCGTCGTCCGGCCGCGTGGCCGATCCCCTGCACGGCTCCCATCGTCGTCATCGCTACATTAGTCCGCCAGCCGTGTAGTTAGACGCCGACAATGGGGCCGCGTAGATGGGTCGGCTGTGCGTGGCCGTGTGTGTTCATTGTGCCTGAAGTCGCTCACTGCACAGCTGTGCTGTAATCCTGAATTTGTTAAACCCAGGGTCGGAATTCGCGAAGGCCAGCCCCAAGAAGTTGGCAGGCGTTGCTTTAAAGGCGGGGAGGGGGGGGGTGAGGGTTTCATATTTCGCTGTGGACAAGAAGACCCAGAGCTTCCTCCGGAGTGACAGAGCCAGGCAAACACAACCTCACCAGGTTATTCGTTTGAGGCTGAGTCGACCTAGGGGAGGCCCAGGGCCGGTTCAGATATCCGTCAGTGGTGCTGTTGGGTGGCCGTGAGCGGGAATCGAACTCGGGCCTATGCCGGGTTCGTAGCGCAGCACGGCTCACCGCTACTACCACTACCGCCACACGCGCGCACAACAACAACCGCCATTCGCCACTAAGTGGCGGTGACGTCACCACGACGCTTGTGCCAGGCTATGTGCACCCTGAGGCCACGTGAAGTGTCGAACGCCCACTGGCAGGAGGTCACGGGGCAGACCCAGGTGCCACAGGTCGACTGAGTGAGATGACTGGCTGATGCACCACCACCTGTGCCCCCTACTGTGCCAACCTGCTGTGCTTTAGCCACCCGGCGCTTCGCTCGTTGTTGTGAGCGTCGCTCCTCCGCCCTCCGTTGTTGTTGGAGGGCGACTACCTCCAACTGCCCAGTAGCGTCCTTCACGAGCCTCCTCCACAAAGGCCGACCTTGACACCGCTGGTACCAGTCATCGGCAAGTCCACTCAGCTCCACGTCCTCCTGTACCACATCACTCCATCTCTTCTCTAGCCCGTGCCGCGCCCGCTTAGCCCCCTCGATCCGGCCGAACAAAAGCTGTTTCGGCATGCGGTGGCTGGGCACGCGGGCTACACGACCCAGCCAACGTAGCCTTGCCGGCCGGAGGAGCTCACCGATGGGACCTTGTCCAGATCACGCACACGCACACAGACGAACGCGTACAACAACCCCACCTCAGACTGTAGGTCCTGCAAGATGTCCCCAAGCAGGTCGTCCTTGGACAGATCCACGTCCTTCTGCAAAAAAAAAAAACACACGGGGAGCAGAAGAGGGGGGGGAGGGGCACCGAATAAGCGTGAACGTTTTTGTTCCCATGGGCGTGCAGGAGGTGCAATCTGCCAGGTAGGAGGCGGTGCAGGATAGTGTGTGGACTAATCTTCATCCGTTCCATTTCCCACTCCCTTTCTACGCCGTGGGTGGACTAATCTCCATCTCTTCCATTTCCACTCCCTTCTACGCCGTGGGTGGACTAATCTTCATCTGTTCCATTTCCCACTCCCTTCTACGCCGTGGGTGGACTAATCTCCATCTGTTCCATTTCCCACTCCCTTCTACGCCGTGAGTGGACTAATCTCCATCTGTTCCATTTCCCACTCCCTTCTACGCCGTGGGTGGACAAATCTCCATCTGTTCCATTTCCCACTCCCTTCTACGCCGTGGGTGGACTAATCTCCATCTGTTTCCATTTCCCACTCCCTTCTACGCCGTGGGTGGGCTAATCTTCATCCGTTCCATTTCCCACTTCCCTTCTACGCCGTGGGTGGACTAATCTCCATCTGTTCCATTTCCCACTCCCTTCTACGCCGTGGGTGGACTAATCTCCATCTGTTCCATTTCCCACTCCCTTCTACGCCGTGGGTGGACTAATTCTCCATCTGTTCCATTTCCCACTCCTTCGACGCCGTGGGTGGGCTAATCTTCATCTGTTCCATTTCCCACTCCCTTCTACGCCGTGGGTGGACTAATCTCCATCTGTTTCCATTTCCCACTCCCTTCTACGCCGTGAGTGGACTAATCTCCATCTGTTCCATTTCCACTCCCTTTCTACGCCGTGGGGTGGACAAATCTCCATCTGTTTCCATTTCCCACTCCCTTCTACGCCGTGGGTGGACTAATCTCCATCTGTTTCCATTTCCCACTCCCTTCTACGCCGTGGGTGGGCTAATCTTCATCCGTTCCATTTCCCACTCCCTTCTACGCCGTGGGTGGACTAATCTCCATCTGTTCCATTTCCCACTCCCTTCTACGCCGTGGGTGGGACTAATCTCCATCTGTTCCATTTCCCACTCCCTTCTACGCCGTGGGTGGACTAATCTCCATCTGTTCCATTTCCCACTCCCTTCTACGCCCGTGGGTGGGCTAATCTCATCTGTTTCCATTTCCCACTCCCTTCTACGCCGTGGGTGGACTAATCTCCATCTGTTCCATTTCCCACTCCCTTCTACGCCGTGGGTGGACTAATCTTCATCTGTTCCATTTCCCACTCCCTTCTACGCCGTGGGGTGGACTAATCTCCATCTGTTCCATTTCCCACTCCCTTCTACGCCGTGGGTGACTAATCTTCATCTGTTCCATTTCCCACTCCCTTCTACGCCGTGGGTGGACTAATCTTCATCTGTTCCATTTCCCACTCCCTTCTACGCCGTGGGTTAATCTTCATCTGTTCCATTCCCACTCCCTTCTACGCCGTGGGTGGACTAATCCCATCCGTTCCATTTCCCACTCCTTCTACGCCGTGGGTGGGACTAATCTCCATCCGTTCCATTTCCCACTCCCTTCTACGCCGTGGGTGGACTAATCTCCATCTGTTCCATTTCACACTCCCTTCTACGCCGTGGGTGGACTAATCTCCATCTGTTCCATTTCCCACTCCCCTTCTACGCCGTGGGTGGGCTAATCTCCATCTGTTCCATTTCTCACTCCCTTCTACGCCGTGGGTGGGCCAATCTCCATCTGTTTCCATTTCCCACTCCCTTCTACGCCGGTGGGTGGACTAATCTCCATCTGTTCCATTTCCCACTCCCTTCTACGCCGTGGGTGGACTAATCTTCATCTGTTCCATTTCCCACTCCCTTCTACGCCGTGGGTAAACTAATCTTCATCTGTTCCATTTCCCACTCCCTTCTACGCCGTGGGTGGACTAATCTTCATCTGTTCCATTTCCCACTCCCTTCTACGCGTGGGTGGACTAATCTCCATCTGTTCCATTTCCCACTCCCTTCTACGCCGTGGGTGGACTAATCTCCATCCGTTCCATTTCCCACTCCCTTCCACGCCGTGGGTGGACTAATCTCCATCTGTTCCATTTCCCACTCCCTTCTACGCCGTGGGTGGACTAATCTCCATCCGTTCCATTTCCCACTCCCTTCTACGCCGTGGGTGTGACTAATCTCCATCTGTTCATTTCCCACTCCCTTCTACGCCGTGGTGGACTAATCTCCATCTGTTCCATTTCCCACTCCCTTCTACGCCGTGGGTGGACTAATCTTCATCTGTTCCATTTCCCACTCCCTTCTACGCCGTGGGTGGACTAATCTCCATCCGTTCCATTTCCCACTCCCTTCTACGCCGTGGGTGGACTAATCTCCATCTGTTCCATTTCCCACTCCCTCTACCCGTGGGTGGACTAATCTTCATCTGTTCCATTTCCCACTCTCTTCTACGCCGTGGGTGGACAAATCTCCATCCGTTCCATTTCCGACTCCCTTCTACGCCGTGGGTGGACTAATCTCCATCCGTTCCATTTCCCACTCCCTTCTACGCCGTGGGTGGACTATCTTCATCTGTTCATTCCCACTCCCCTTCTACGCCGTGGGTGGGGCTAATCTCCATCCGTTCCATTTCCCACTCCCTTCTACGCCGTGGGTGGACTAATCTCCATCTGTTCCTTTCCCACTCCCTTCCACGCCGTGGGTGGACTAATCTCCATCCGTTCCATTTCCCACTCCCTTCTACGCCGTGGGTGGACTAATCTCCATCCGTTCCATTTCCCACTCCCTTCTACGCCGTGGGTGGACTAATCTCCATCCGTTCCATTTCCCACTCCCTTCTACGCCGTGGGTGGACTGATCTCCGTCCGTTCCACGTTTACTTCCCGTGAGCGGGTGTCTGGGAGGAGCCCCCCCCACGCCAGCTCGCCTGCATGGGATACAGCGTTGCCCCCTCGCATGCGTGGGTTTCCTCCCACGTGTATAAACGCTCGTTAATTTGGGGGGGGGGAGGGGGGGGGGGGGGGGGGCCGGGAGAGAGGGGTAGGCACGGCACCTCCACCGTCTTCTTGCCGCCGCTCGCCATGAACATGCTCTTGATGTTGCTCGACTTGGTGACCGGCTTTTTTCGCCTCGCCACCGGCGGTCTTGCGGGAGTCGCCAACGCCCTTGCGGTCCTGCACGAAAGAAAAATAAAATTTTAAATTGGCGCAGGGCACGGCGGGCTCCCCGCTTATCCGCGCTAACGACTGCGAGGACGCCCGGGGGGATGATCCACGATCGCGGATGACCCACGATCGTGATTTATCCACGACCGTGATTTATCCACAATCGCGGATGATTCATGAACGGTGAGTGTTTTCGCGTTACAACGGTGAGTGTTTTCGTGTTGCAACGGTGAGTGTTTCCATGTTACAACGGTGAGTGTTTCATGTTACAACAGTGAGTGTGTCCATGTTGCAACGGTGAGTGTTTCATGTTACAACGGTGAGTGTTTCATGTTACAACGGCGAGTGTTTCCGCGTTACAACGGTGAGTGTTTCATGTTACAACGGCGAGTGTTTCATGTTACAACGGCGAGTGTTTCATGTTACAACGGCGAGTGTTTCATGTTACAACGGCGAGTGTTTCCGCGTCACAACGGCGAGTGTTTCATGTTACAACGGTGAGTGTTTCATGTTACAACGGCGAGTGTTTCATGTTACAACGGCGAGTGTTTCATGTTACAACGGCGAGTGTTTCATGTTACAACGGCGAGTGTTTCCGCGTCACAACGGCGAGTGTTTCCGCGTCACAACGGCGAGTGTTTCCGCGTCACAACGGCGAGTGTTTCATGTTACAACGGCGAGTGTTTCATGTTACAACAGTGAGTGTTTCCGCATCACAACGGCGAGTGTTTCATGTTACAACGGCGAGTGTTTCCACGTCACAACGGCGAGTGTTTCCACGTCACAACGGCGAGTGTTTCCGCCGCTAGCGAGAAGCGGCAGCGCTACGAGGCCCGGCACAGCGCGCCGAGGCGGTGGGGGCGGCCAACGCAGCGCCCCCGTACCACGTCACCACGGTATTCGTCACCAGGGTATTCGTCACCACGGTATTCGTCACCACGGTATTCGTCACCAGGGTATTCGTCACCACGGTATTCGTCACCACGGTATTCGTCACCAGGGTATTCGTCACCAGGGTATTCGTCACCACGGTATTCGTCACCAGGGTATTCGTCACCACGGTATTCGTCACCACGGTATTCGTCACCAGGGTATTCGTCACCACGGTATTCGTCACCAGGGTATTCGTCACCAGGGTATTCGTCACCAGGGTATTCGTCACCAGGGTATTCGTCACCACGGTATTCGTCACCAGGGTATTCGTCACCAGGGTATTCGTCACCACGGTATTCGTCACCACGGTATTCGTCACCACGGTATTCGTCACCACGGTATTCGTCACCAGGGTATTCGTCACCAGGGTATTCGTCACCAGGGTATTCGTCACCAGGGTATTCGTCACCACGGTATGTCGTCACCACGGTATTCGTCACCAGGGTATTCGTCACCAGGGTATTCGTCACCACGGTATTCGTCACCACGGTATTCGTCACCAGGGTATTCGTCACCACGGTAATTCGTCACCACGGTATTCGTCACCACGGTATTCGTCACCAGGGTATTCGTCACCACGGTATTCGTCACCACGGTATTCGTCACCAGGGTAGTCGTCACCAGGTATTCGTCACCAGGGTATTCGTCCACCAGGGTATTCGTCACACGGTATTCGTCACCACGTATTCGTCACCACGGTAATCCGGCACCACGGTATTCGTCACCCACGGTATTCGTCACCAGGGGTATTCGTCACCACGGTATTCGTCACCACGGTATTCGTCACCAAGGGTATTCGTCACCAGGGTATTCGTCACCAGGGTATTCGTCACCAGGGTATTCGTCACCAGGGTATTTCGTCACCAGGGTATTCGTCACCACGGTATTCGTCACCACGGTATTCGTCCCAGGGTATTCGTCCCCCGACGGTATTCGTCACCAGGGTATTCGTCACCACGGTATTCGTCACCACGGTATTCGTCACCACGGTATTCGTCACCAGGGTATTCGTCACCAGGGTATTCGTCACCAGGGTATTCGTCACCACGGTAATTCGTCACCAGGGTAGTTCGTCACCACGGTATTCGTCACCACGGTATTCGTCACCACGGTATTCGTCACCAAGGTATTCGTCACCACGGTATTCGTCACCAGGGTATTCGTCACCAGGGTATTCGTCACCACGGTATTCGTCACCACGGTATTCGTCACCACGGTATTCGTCACCAAGGTATTCGTCACCAGGGTATTCGTCACCACGGTATTCGTCACCACGGTATTCGTCACCAGGGTATTCGTCACCAGGGTATTCCGTCACCAGGGTATTCGTCACCACGGTATTCGTCACCACGGTATTCGTCACCACACGGTATTCGTCACCACGGTATTCGTCACCACGGTATTCCGTCACCAGGGTATTCGTCACCAGGGTATTCGTCACCAGGGTATTCGTCACCAGGGTATTCGTCACCAGGGTATTCGTCACCACGGTATTCGTCACCAGGGTATTCGTCACCAGGGTATTCGTCACCAGGGTATTCGTCACCAGGGTATTCGTCACCAGGGTATTCGTCACCAGGGTATTCGTCACCACGGTATTCGTCACCAGGGTATTCGTCACCACGGTATTCGTCACCACGGTATTCGTCACCACGGTATTCGTCACCAGGGTATTCGTCACCAGGGTATTCATCACCAGGGTATTCGTCACCACGGTATTCGTCACCACGGTATTCGTCACCACGGTATTCGTCACCAGGGTATTCGTCACCAGGGTATTCGTCACCAGGGTATTCGTCACCAGGGTATTCGTCACCACGGTATTCGTCACCAGGGTATTCGTCACCACGGTATTCGTCACCACGGTATTCGTCACCACGGTATTCGTCACCAGGGTATTCGTCACCAGGGTATTCGTCACCACGGTATTCGTCACCAGGGTATTCGTCACCAGGGTATTCGTCACCACGGGTATTCGTCACCAGGGTATTCGTCACCACGGTATTCGTCACCAGGGTATTCGTCACCACGGTATTCGTCACCAGGGTATTCGTCACCAGGGTATTCGTCACCACGGTATTCGTCACCAGGGTATTCGTCACCACGGTATTCGTCACCACGGTATTCGTCACCACGGTATTCGTCACCAGGGTATTCGTCACCACGGTATTCGTCACCACGGTATTCGTCACCACGGTATTCGTCACCACGGTATTCGTCACCAGGGTATTCGTCACCAGGGTATTCGTCACCACGGTATTCGTCACCACGGTATTCGTCACCAGGGTATTCGTCACCACGGTATTCGTCACCACGGTATTCGTCACCAGGGTATTCGTCACCAGGGTATTCGTCACCACGGTATTCGTCACCACGGTATTCGTCACCACGGTATCCGTCACCACGGTATTCGTCACCAGGGTATTCGTCACCACGGTATTCGTCACCACGGTATTCGTCACCACGGTATTCGTCACCACGGTATTCGTCACCGTCTCACGCGGCACACGAAAGTGGCAGCCCACACGCCGGTGCTGTAGAGTGACGATGAGGTGGCGAAAAGTGTGAGGGGGGAGCGGGGCGGTGATCGTCCTCACCCCTGTTGCGACTCTCCAGGACATCCTCGGTCAGCTCATCGTCAAAAACCTCGCGGCCGTCCTCGACGTAACCGATGCCGTCTGCGGGCCGGGAGCGGAGGGAGTTGAAACTCGGGCGTGGATTCAACAGAGCAAGTCAAGCCGTGAGAGGTTAAGGGTGCATGAGAGAACCCGTAGACTCACACGGAGACCCGTAGACTCACACGGAGACCCGTAGACTCACACAGAGACCGGTAGACTTACAAGAGATCGACAGACTCACACAGAGACCCATAGAATCACACGGAGACCCACAGATTGGCACAGAGGCCCACAGGCTCACACAGAGGCCCACAGACTCACACAAAGACCCGTAGAATCACACGGAGACCGGTAGACTCACACAGAGACCCATAGACTCACACGGAGACCCGTAGAATCACACGGAGACCGGTAGACTCACACAGAGACCCGTAGACTCACACGGAGACCGGTAGACTCACACAGAGACCCATAGACTCACACAGAGACCCGTAGACTCACACGGAGACCCGTAGACTCACACGGAGACCCGTAGACTTACAAGAGATCCACAGACTCACACAGAGACCCGTAGAATCACACGGAGACCCACAGATTGGGACAGAGAGGCCCACAGGCTCACACAGAGGCCCACAGGCTCACACAGAGACCCACAGACTCACACAGAGACCCATAGATTGGCACAGAGGCCCACAGGCTCACACAGAGGCCCACAGACTCACAGAGACCCATAGATTGGCACAGAGGCCCACAGGCTCACACAGAGGCCCACAGACTCACAGAGACCCGTAGAATCACACGGAGACCGGTAGACTCACACAGAGACCCACAGATTGGGACAGAGAGGCCCACAGGCTCACGCAGAGGCCCACAGACTCACACAGAGACCCACAGACTCACACAGAGACCCATAGATTGGCACAGAGGCCCACAGGCGCCCACAGGCTCACACAGAGGCCCACAGACTCACACAGAGACCCGTAGAATCACACGGAGACCGGTAGACTCACACAGAGACCCATAGACTCACACGGAGACCCGTTGACTCACACGGAGACCGGTAGACTCACACGGAGACCGGTAGACTCACACGGAGACCCGTAGACTCACACGGAGACCGGTAGACTTACAAGAGATCCACAGACTCACACAGAGACCCGTAGAATCACACGGAGACCGGTAGACTCACACAGAGACCCACAGATTGGGACAGAGAGGCCCACAGGCTCACGCAGAGGCCCACAGACTCACACAGAGACCCATAGATTGGCACAGAGGCCCACAGACTCACAGAGACCCGTAGAATCACACGGAGACCGGTAGATTCACACAGAGACCCATAGACTCACACAGAGACCCGTAGACTCACACGGAGACCGGTAGACTCACACAGAGACCCATAGACTCACACAGAGACCCGTAGAATCACACGGAGACCGGTAGATTTGCAGAGATCCAGACTCACACAGAGACCCGTAGAATCACACGGAGACCGGTAGACTCACACAGAGACCCATAGATTGGCACAGAGGCCCACAGGCTCACACAGAGACCCATAGACAGAAAGGCCCACAGACTCGCACAGAGACCCACAGACTCACACAGAGACCCATAGACAGAGAGGCCCACAGACTCGCACAGAGACCCACAGACTCACACAGAGAGGCCCACAGACTCGCACAGAGACCCGCAGGCTCCCAGGAAACTCAACGCAGGCACCGAGAGACCAGGACGAGTCGTGCCCATGGGGCATCGTTACCATCGTCCACGATCCAGTCGTCGTCCTGACGATCCCGCACGCGGTTCGAGTACTCCTCCTCCGTCACCTCGTCATACACACGCGTCACGTCCTCCACCTACAAGACAAAGATTTTCCCCCCCTCCCCTTAAGTCTACACGCGCAAGCGTAAGCCGAACTAAAACTTGTTTTTATTTTTAGCAGGTGAAGTCCACGGGGCTATGCAGCTCCGTGTACAGCTCGGCCACTAATCTGGCTGTCGCCTGATCAAGCCGGCTGTAATTACTGGAGAAACGTCACAGTACTCAGACTGCAAATGTTGTGGCTTTGCTATCCAACACACCGGTGTAGTGCTGTACTAGTATACTACACTATACACTACACTACTATACACTACACACTATACACTACACTATACTATACACTATATACACTACACTATACACTAGTGCTGTACTAGTATACTACACCATATACTACACTATACATTACACTAAACACTAGTGCTGTACTAGTATACTACACTATACACTACACACTAGAGCTGTACTAGTATACTACACTATACACTACTATACACTACACACTATACACTACACTATACTATACACTATATACACTACACTATACACTAGTGCTGTACTAGTATACTACACCATATACTACACTATACATTACACTATACACTAGTGCTGTACTAGTATACTACACTATACACTACACACTAGAGCTGTACTAGTATACTACACTATACACTACACTATACACTACACTATACACTAGTGCTGTACTAGTATACTACACTATACACAACACTATACACTAGTGCTGTACGAGTATACTACACTATACACTAGTGCTGTACGAGTATACTACACTATAGACTACACTATACACAAGTGCTGTACTAGTATACTACACTATACACTACATTATACACTAGTGCTGTACTAGTAACGCATTACTTGGGTGGGTGAGTGGGTGAGTAAATGAATGGGTGAATGAGTGGGTGGGTGAGTGGATGGGTGAGCGAGTAAGTGAGTGGGTGAGTGAGTGGGTGAGTAAATGAGAAAGTGAGCGAGTGGATGGGTGAATAAGTGAGCGGGTGGGTGAGTAAGTGAGTGGGTGAGTGAGTAAGTGGCTGAGTGAGTGGGTGAATGAGTGGGTGGGTGAGTGGATGGGTGAGCGAGTAAGTGAGTGGGTGAGTAAATGAGCGAGTGGATGGGTGAATAAGTGAGCGGGTGGGTGAGTAAGTGAGTGGGTGAGTGAGTAAGTGGCTGAGTGAGTGGGTGAATGAGTGGGTGGGTGAGTGGATGGGTGAGCGAGTAAGTGAGTGAGTGAGTGGGTGAATAAATGAGAAAGTGAGCCAGTGGATGGGTGAATAAGTGAGCGGGTGGGTGAGTAAGTGAGTGGGTGAGTGAGTAAGTGGCTGAGTGAGTGGGTGAATGAGCGGGTGAGTAGGTGAGCAAGTGAGTAAGTGAGTGAGTGGATGGGTGAATAAGTGAGCGGGTGGGTGAGTAAGTGAGTGGGTGAGTGAGTAAGTGGCTGAGTGAGTGGCTGGGTGAGTGGGTGGGTGAGTAGGTGAGCAAGTGAGTAAGTGAGTGAGTGGCGGGGGGGGGGGGGGGCCTTCGCCACTAAACTACGCGCACAACGCGCGCCCCCTAGTAGAGGAATGGAACTCGTCACACAGCCTCTTGCTGTGAGTTGCCACAACTTGCGGTGGTGGTGGTGGCGGTGGTGGTGACGGGATGGGTGTTGCACCTCGTAGGAGACCTTCTCCCCGGCCTTTGCCTTGCGGAGTTTCTCCAAAGCGGCGCTGCGACCCGCCTTGTCCTTCTTGTCTCGGCGACTCCTGGAGCTGGCGAGGGAATCTTCACGGTGGGCAAAAAAACTCATAAAAAAAAAATTCCGATTTTATTTTAAAAGTGCGCTAAAATGTAACGGATGATTTTCTTTCGGCCGCCGCCGGCTGATGGGAATATTTTTGGAACGTTTGTAACTGAAACGTAAAACAAGTGGAGGCGGCTCCCTGAATATTCCACAGTTCAGGGATCTCCGCGTGTTTTTTGACCTACACGGATATATGTATATCAATAATAAGGCGTCCATAGAAAATGTAAATCGCTTTAAAGTAGAGAATTAATTGATCAATCGATGCTGATACAGGCATGGATTGGACCACAGGAAATAGACTAACTTTTGATTACAAGATTGTGACTGACCAGTTGAATGGAAAAAAAAAAGGTAATATTTAAAAACCACGCTTTTTTAAAATGTACCGCGCTAGTAATGGCAGAACTCCACGACTCCAGGAAGTGGTTCCCCAAAAGCTTGCCACAAACGTAAGGGGACCGTGGCCAATTAGAGCCAAGCCGAAACATTAACATGTAAAAAAAAGAACGTTTAAAAATATAAATTGATTTTTTTATGATATAATATAGTATTGTCATCAGTATGACATAGGCATAGCAAGTTTGCAGTGGATACCGCATTGGGAAGCGGGTTAAAATTGAGTCACAAGATTTGAGGATACATCAACGGCAAAACAAACACATTCTCCTGCGGGAGGGAGCTGGTTGGAACGTTGGGTTGCTCGGTCAATGGCCAGGGTCAACAACGGGCGGCACCACCACGTGGTGTGTTCAGCAACAATATGCCCGACTGTGAGGGCGGGCACAAGCCGGCGTGAGTTGGTGAAACGTTGAGTTTTATAAGGGGGGCACCACGGGGTGACCAGCCCCTCCCCACCCAGCCCCTCCCCACCCAGCCCCTCCCCACCCAGCCCCTCCCCACCCAGCCCCTCCCCACCCAGCCCCTCCCCACCCAGCCCCACCCCACCCAGCCCCTCCCCACCCAGCCCAGCCCCTCCCCACCCAGCCCCTCCCATTTTTAGATGCACGACAGACAGACAGACACAATAATCCATATTCCTTGGTTCTATTCGGTAAAGTCACGTAGGTAAAAAATAAAACAACAAAAATCACACTACACTATACACTACACTATACACTAGTATACTACACTATACACTACTACAATATACACTACAACACTATACACTACTACACTACACTATACACTACACTATATACTACACTTTACACTACACTATAACACTATACACTACACTATACACTACTACACTATACACTACTATACACTACACTATACACTAGTATACTACACTATACACTGCACAATACTACAACACTATACACTACAACACTATACACTAGTATACTACACTATACACTACACTACAACACTATACACTACTACACTACACTACAACACTATACACTACTACACTATACACTAGTATACTACACTATACACTACAACACTATACACTACCCTATACACTACACTAGTATACTACACTATGCACTACAACACTATACACTACACTATACACTACAACACTATACACTACACTACTATACACTACACTATAACACTATACACTACACTATAACACTACTATACACTACACTACTATACACTACACTACTATACACTACAACACTATACACCACTACACTACTATACACTACACTATACACTACACCACTATACACTACACTATACACTACACTATAACACTATACACCACTACACTATACACTACTACACTACACTATACACTACTATACACTACACTATACACTACACTATATATAAAACAATGAAATTCTCACGTTTCGACTGCAACTCAAGCAATCGTCATCGGGTGTGAAAACCACAGCGAGAAAAACAAAACAAAAATTGTTTAAAATTGCGATAAATCGATTAGAAATCGATTAATCGTTCAGCCCGATCAACCGCTACACCAGCACGCGCAACACACAGACAAAGGTCCCCCGTGTAGCCTCTACAGACTGCTGGGGCAAGTGCTGTTAGCGAGTAGCAGCAGCTATGAAGGTAGACACAGACAAAGATCCCCGTGTAGCCTCTACAGACTGCTGGGGCAAGTGCTGTTAGTAGCGAGTAGCAGCAGCACCTGTGAAGGTAGACACAGACAAAGATCCCCCGTGTAGCCTCTAACAGACTGCAGGGGCAAGTACTGTTAGCGAGCAGCACCTTTGAAGGCTACCGGCACTGTGGCACACACGAGGGGGTGGGGGGCTACCAGCTCCCACGCCCGGCCGCCTTTGTCTCTCTCCCAGCGGCCGAGCTTAACCGCGCCACCGCTACGCCAGCTAACGCGTTCGAGGCTTCAGATAATCGTCACACGGGGTGTTTGGTGGCCGTGAGCGGTCTACGCCGGGCCCCGTAGGGCACAGCACGCACGCGACTGGCGCTCGTCTAGGTCGACTCGGCCTCAAAACCAAAAAACCCTGATGGGTTTGAGTCGGCTTTAAGTGAAGAGCAAGCTGAGGAAATCGATAGACTTTAGGTGGGGGGGGGCTGCCGAGTTTGTATCGAGCAGTCCACGGCATAACAAAAACGCATTTTGTATATAAAATAAAACATTATAAAAATTGTAAATATAAAGTCTCCTCACCGCCTTCGCTACCCACCGGCGCCATCGCAGATTTGGCGGGAAACGTCGCAGACTTCTCCCGCGCCTTCGCGCGCTTTCACGCCTCGCCATTGGTCGGCGGCTGAGTGACGTCGGCGAAGGTTTCCCGTGAGTCCATCTTGGGTAGGGGAGATCCCGGGGTGGTGTTCACAACGCAAGGTGGCCATGTTGGGTAGGGGACACCACGGGGTGGTGTTCACGACACAAGGTGGCCATGTTGGGTAGGGGACACCACGGGGTGGTGTTCACGACACAAGGTGGCCATGTTGGGTGGGGGACACCACGGGGTGGTGTTCACAACGCAAGGTGGCCATGTTGGGTAGGGGACACCACGGGGTGGTGTTCACGACGCAAGGTGGCCATGTTGGGTAGGGGACATCACGGGGTGGTGTTGACGACGCAAGGTGGCCATGTTGGGTAGGGGAGACCACGGGGTAGTGTTCACAACGCAAGGTGGCCATGTTGGGTAGGGGACATCACGGGGTGGCGTTCACGACGCAAGGTGGCCATGTTGGGTAGGGGACATCACGGGGTGGCGTTCACGACGCAAGGTGGCCATGTTGGGTAGGGGACACCACGGGGTGGTGTTCACAACGCAAGGTGGCCATGTTGGGTAGGGGAGACCACGGGGTAGTGTTCACAACGCAAGGTGGCCATGTTGGGTAGGGGAGATCACGGGGTGGCGTTCACGACGCAAGGTGGCCATGTTGGGTAGGGGACATCACGGGGTGGCGTTCACGACGCAAGGTGGCCATGTTGGGTAGGGGACACCACGGGGTGGTGTTCACAACGCAAGGTGGCCATGTTGGGTAGGGGAGATCACGGGGTGGTGTTCACGACGCAAGGTGGCCATATTGGGTAGGGGAGACCACGGGGTAGTGTTCATAACGCACGGTGGCCATGTTGGGTAGGAGACACCACGGGGTATATTTGGAGGGGGGGTCACAACGCAAGGTAGCCATGTTGGGTAGGGGACATCACGGGGTGGCGTTCACGACGCAAGGTGGCCATGTTGGGTAGGGGACACCACGGGGTGGTGTTCACAACGCAAGGTGGCCATGTTGGGTAGGGGAGATCACGGGGTGGTGTTCACGATGCAAGGTGGCCATATTGGGTAGGGGAGACCACGGGGTAGTGTTCATAACGCACGGTGGCCATGTTGGGTAGGGGACACCACGGGGTATATTTGGAGGGGGGGGTCACAACGCAAGGTAGCCATGTTGGGTAGGGGACATCACGGGGTGGTGTTCACAACGCAAGGTGGCCATGTTGGGTAGGGGACACCACGGTGTATATTTGGAGGGGGGGGAGGGGTTCACAACGCAAGGTGGCCATGTAAATTTTTTATTTGGTTTGATAGCGATTACAGCCGGTTCTGGGCCATCTTTGGAAGGGATATTCGTGTTGATAGCAGGGACGTGCGGTCACGGGAGGCTGGGGAGGCAGAGCTCACCTAGTTCATAGTTCCATTTATTAGGTATAGCCCTGTGAGCCATTCGGCTCTTGAATCGGTTGCAACCGCAACAAACAAAAACATGAACAAGAAAACATCTTAAAGTGATTATTATGTGACTGTGCAAAACAGAAAATCCAGGGAAGAAAAATAACCATCAAAATATTCCTGAATAACTCCAATGAAAATAGTTGTTACGAAAAGAAAAAAAATCGAATGATCAAATAATATAAATATTAAGATTTTCCCCACTGATCTGTGTTATTTCATTTCTGTACGATTCCAGTCATTTTTGTAGTCAAAATCGCCAAATTTGCGGAGCTCCGTTGCAAATACAGGAAGAGACGAGAGGTGAGGCACCAACGAGGCCAGCCTCCCCTCTGATTGCGCAACCCCTCCGAAACTGAATGGAGCGCGGGCAATAAACGTGTGCCTGTTACTATCTCAGTATGTCACCAATGTAATGTTTGTAGACCCCTTCATTTCATGTCCTCCTCGCCTTCCATACGTCAGGTAACTTATTTCACGTATGTGTATAAAGATTCATCTTCTTTGGTTCTTTCGGTAAAGTCACGTAGAATGAGAATAAAATAATAAATTGATAAAATAAAATAACGCAATAATATTCTCATGACGTTTCGGCCACAACACAAGCGGCCTTCATCAGGTGAAGAGACGAGACTGTCTGGTAGGACAGCGCGGCCACAACACAAGCGGCCTTCATCAGGTGAAGAGACGAGACTGTCTGGTAGGACAGCGCTGTCCTACCAGACAGTCTCGTCCCTTCACCTGACAGCGCTGTCCAACCAGACAGTCGGCCGCTTGTGTTGTGGCCGAAACGTCGTGAGAATATCATTGTGTTATTTTATCAATTGATTATTTTATTCTCATTCTACGTGACTTTACCGAAAGAACCAAAGAAGATGAATCCTTGCAGTCACGAAAGCTTTAAATCGAAAGTGTATGAAGATATTTAGGCTCGCTGGTCTCGTCGTGAAACTGCAATGAAAAAGCACCAGGGGAGGCAGCTATCACATCTGCCTCACTGAGGGGGGCGTGTCAGACACACCCCTCAGTGAGGCCACGCCTCCCTCAGTGAAGCCACGCCCCCTCCGTGAGGCCACGCCCCCTCAGTGTGTGAATCTGGCTTTGACACTAGCCAGTGCCTCCCCAGCCATTGACCTCATCGCACGTCATTGGTTGATGGATATTACAATGCTGGTGGCCATCTTGGGTAGGGATATTCGTGTTGATAAATATTAGTGCTGGCGGCCATCTTGGATAGGGATACTCGTGTTGATGGAGATTACAGTGCTGGTGGCCATTTTGAGTAAGGACACTCGTGTTGCTAGGGGGTCACAGCGCTGGTGGCCATGTTGGGTAGGGATATTCGTGTTGATAAATATTAGTGTTGGTGGCCATCTTGGGTAGGCCAACAACACAGACACTTCCTGGCGAAACCACGAATTTCAGAAGAGTGTTAAATTTCGTGTTCAAACTTTGGATTGCACATACCAGCATAGATAGAATGAAAATACGAGGTACACGGTCAGTAGGACTTGTATATATGTATTTCTACTGACCGTGTACCTCGTATTTTTTCATTCTATCTATGCTGGTATGTGCAATCCAAAGGTTGAACACGACATTTAACAATCTTCTGAAATCCGTGGTTTCGCCAGGAAGTGTCTAAACTGTGTTGTTGGCCTGACTGGATGTGGCTTCACATAATGTTTTTCTTAGGTTTGTTGAATTTTCGTCTCTCATCTTTTTGTTGTATTTACCTCCGTGATTTGTTCTTGACACCTGATGAAGATCGCTTGCGTTGTGATCGAAACGTCGTGATTGTTTTTGGTTTTAATATAATTTTATTGTATTTCTACACACGTGACTTTACCGAAAAAACCCAATGAGTAAGGACACTCGTGTTGATAGGGGGTCACAGCGCTGGTGGCCATCTTGGGTAGGGATATTCGTGTTGATAAATATTAGTGCTGGTGGCCATCTTGGGCAGGGATACTCGTGTTGATGGAGGTTCCATTGCTGGTGGCCATTTTGAATAGGGACACTCATGTTGATAGGGGGGTCACAGTGCTGGTGGCCATCTTGGGTAGGGATATTCGTGTTGATAAATATATTAGTGTTGGCGGCCATCTTGGGTAGGGATACTCGTGTTGATGGAGATTACATTGCTGGTGGCCATTTTGAATAGGGACACTCATGTTGATAAGGGGTCACAGTGCTGGTGGCCATCTTGGGTAGGGATGTCGGTGTGTTGTGAAGACTTTCTGATGGACGTCCACAGGCTGGCTGGCTCGTAAAAGATATGATAATAGATTGTCACGACACACACACACGTCTCTTGCTTAACCAGTTTAATAGTATGACTTGCATGCTTCACATATAGAATTTTGTTAATGCATTGATTATGTTTTAAACACACACAAACACAGACCCATAACAGAAGGGGGGTTTTTTGGGGGGTTAAATTGCATATAAATATATAAATGTTGAGTCGTGAAACCCGGCACCACCCGACACAGGCAATTAGTAAGGTTTGTCACGTAAACAGAACGTGCCAATTCGTTACTAGTACAGCACTAGTGTATAATGCAGTGTATAGTGTAGTAGTGTACAGTGTAGTGTGTAGTGTAGTGTATAGTGTAGTGTATAGTGTAGTATACTAGTACAGCACGAGTGTATAGTGTAGTATATAGTGTGTAGTGTAGTGTGTAGTATACTAGTACAGCACTACACCGGTGTGTTGGAGAGTAAATCCACAACATTTACAATCTGAGTACCATGACATGAGTGGAGAAGTCCTCTCCTTTCGTTTCTTAAACGTCGTACTCAGATAGTAAACGTTGTGGATTAAAATTTCGATTCATGGATTTGTGGATTTACTCTCCCAACGCACCGTTTGATGCTGTACTCGTAACGAATTGACAAACCTTACTAATTGGCTGTTGTATCGTGCGTATCATTTATATTTGCGCGATCCAACCCCCCCAAAAAAAACCCCTATATGGATGCTATATTGATTGCGAAAGCCTACTGACGTGCAAAAGCGACAATCCCGCCAACGCGCGAGCTTGAAAAAAAGAACTTCAATTTGAAGGTGACGCTCAAGTTAAAAAGTCAATTTCACAATGAACCGAGCTCTGAGGCTTGGATTGGCAACTGATCATCATTGAAAATCGTTTCGTGACAGGATTCCATCCGTTTAAAAACACGTAGGCTTTCGCGACCAATGTTGTCCAGAACAGAGGATATTTTGTCGGGGGGCTTGAGATCGCATAAATCGCATTTACGCGATGGAACTCCTCGGAAAATAAAACGAAAAAAAGCCTCTGTTATGGAAGATTCTATCCACTGACAGGTTCGAGCGGTGGACAGCAATTCCACGTTTTGGAAGGAGGAGGAGGAGGGGGAAGAGGAAGGGGGGGAGGATGGGGTGGAGGAGGAGGAGAAGGAAGAGGAGGAAGAGTAGATGGAGTAGGAGAATGAGGAGGAAAAGTAGGAGGAGGAGAAGCAGCTCAACCAACTTGCGCTTAACACACACACACACCACACGCGCGCGTGCGTTTAAAAAAATTCGCACCGGCAGGAGATGTCCGTTCCCTAACCATCGGTGGGCACAAACCCTGCCACCCCCAAAGTGACGGGGGGGGGGGGGGGCGGGGAGAAGGCACCACGCGTTCCCCGAAAGGTGGACAGAGCGAGCGAGCGCTCGCTAGATGCGTTCCCATTTTCCCCTCTTCTTTGCGGAGAAAATGCGGCGGTCAGACGGACGTACGGATGCGCTGCGCGGTATCCACCCCGTCGGCTACGCGTGGCGTTCGCGCTGCAACGGGATGAAAATGAATCCGCGAAGGAATGAATGACAAATTATGTTTCGTGTTTTCGGCCCATACGTGGAGATGCTGGGCGCGGTTTTGCCCACTTAAGGAATACTCGGAACGGGAATCGACCGATGTTCTTTTTTTTTTACGACAATCGAGCGTGGATCGAGCGTGGATCCAGCTGCGATATTTTGAGCACGTTGGTCTATGCGATCGAGCGTGGATCGAGCGTGGATCAAGCTGCGATATTTTGAGCACGTTGGTCTATGCGATCGAGCGTGGATCGAGCGTGGATCCAGCTGCGATATTTTGAGCACGTTGGTCTATGCGATCGAGCGTGGATCGAGCGTGGATCAAGCTGTGATATTTTGAGCACGTTGGTCTATGTGATCGAGTGTGGATCGAGCTGCGATATTTTGAGCACGTTGGTCTACGTGATCGAGCGTGGATCGAGCGTGGATCAAGCTGCGATATTTTGAGCACGTTGGTCTATGTGATCGAGCGTGAATCCAGCTGCGATATTTTGAGCACGTTGGTCTATGTGATCGAGCGTGAATCCAGCTGCGATATTTTGAGCACGTTGGTCTATGTGATCGAGCGTGAATCCAGCTGCGATATTTTGAGCACGTTGGTCTATGTGATCGAGCGTGGATGCAGCTGCGATATTTTGAGCACGTTGGTCTATGTGATCGAACGTGGATCGAGCGTGGATCCAGCTGCGATATTTTGAGCACGTTGGTCTATGTGATTGAGCGTGGATCAAGCGTGGATCCAGCTGTGATATTTTGAGCACGTTGGTCTATGTGATCGAACGTGGATCGAGCGTGGATCCAGCTGCGATATTTTGAGCACGTTGGTCTATGTGATCGAGCGTGGATTGAGCGTCGATTGAGCTACGATATTTTGAGCAAGTTGGTCTATGCGATCGAGCGTGGACTGAGCGTGGATCCAGCTGCGATATTTTGAACGCGCATTTTTTTCTGAAATCCTTCAAGCGATCCCTCGGCGCGCAATTTCTGCATCTAAAGGATACGATTGGTGGATGGAATAGGCCCCCCCCCCCCGCCCCCCCGATGATTGGCATCCCTTCAGCGTCGCCACGACGATGCATCCACTCGTCCTGCCGCGGATTAATTTCGCCCTGTTGCAGCGGCGCCCGCGGGACAAACCCCCCACAGTGCGGCGGTTAAACAAGCGGGCGACGGCATCTTCAAGCTTTGAGGTAGACGGCTCACCGGTGGATTATAATCCGTCAGCGGTGGGTGAACCGGGCGGGCGGCTCCTGCTGGGGGTCGAGATGGAGGTCGCCCCCTCAACGTGCTCCAGGACTGAGCCTCTCTCAACGGCAGTCGTTCGATCGGCCGCGGGACGAACAAAAAAAAAAATTTCACCCCGGGGGCCGCTCGGCCCCCACCGAGCGACAGAAAGCCCCCTGGCGCTCGCCGGGCTCATCGACGGTGAAACACCGCCCGACGGGGGTATGAGATCGGGCGGCGATAGCGCGCTCGAGAGAGAAAGGTCACGCGGAAACTACGGCGGCGGTTTTGAGGAAATGACGGCGACGAAAAATTGTCTGAAAAAAAACCACGCACGAAATCTCCTTTGAAGGGAATAACAAAAAACTGCGTGACGTGTATTAAAAAGAGTCGTCGTTGTACGGAAGGCATTCGCGACCGTCGCTTCGGTGCATAGTCTTAATTTTTTTTTGGGGGGGGGGGGGTGGTGATGGAGGTCAACTCGTCGTGCGTGTAGGAGGGGAGGGGTTAACGATGTTTGAGTAACTACGAACCTCTCGCGCGAAAACCCGCGCCGCCCGGCGGTCAGTTCCTGCCGCTCTCCGTCACTGGACGTCCGTGACGAAGAGCTTCACAGCTCAGTGGATTATCCACCACGAGACGGTGGTGGATAATCCGACGAGCTGTGACAAGGCCCGGCCCGGTACAAGCAGAGGCGTGCGGAGGCTCCGAAGACGCAGTCTGATCCTCCCGCCCCCCTCCACCTCCGCAAGAAGGAACGCAACGGTGAAGTACTCGGAGAGTTAAGGCCACGGACTACGACGGAGGAGGGGAGGTCACGGAGGAGAGGTCACGGGGGAGGAGAGGTCACAGAGGAGAGGTCACGGAGGGCAGGTCATGGGGGCAGGTCACGGGGGAGAGGTCACGGGGGAGAGGTCACAGGGGAGAGGTCACGGGGGAGAGATCACGGAGGGCAGGTCGCGGGGGAGAGGTCACGGGGGAGAGGTCACGGAGGGCAGGTCATGGGGGCAGGTCACGGGGGAGAGGTCACGGGGGAGAGGTCACAGGGGAGAGGTCACGGGGGAGAGATCACGGAGGGCAGGTCGCGGGGGAGAGGTCACGGGGGAGAGGTCACGGAGGGCAGGTCACGGGGGAGAGGTCACAGGGGAGAGGTCACGGGGGAGAGGCCACGGTGGAGGGGTCCCGGCTGCCGAGTTCAACCCGGATTCCGGATCACGGATTAACCCTGCGCTACGTAGCACAGCTACTGCTACGCAGGATGCTGCACCTGCTGCTGCTGCTGCTGCACCTGCTGCTGCTGCTGCACCTGCTGCTGCTGCTGCACCTGCTGCTGCACTTGCTGCACCTGCTGCTGCTGCTGCTGCACCATAGCTTTAGGGTGGATGCGCTCCGTGTGCCGGGTGCGGATTTGTGTCCCGGGTCGCCGTTAACCCCGGCGTAGGTGGCGACGCCTGGCTCGAAGCGGCGGTGGAGCGGTGGCGCAGCGGTTAGCGCACCGCGCCAAAACCCCCCGACGACGCGAGTTTGAGACCCGCTCACGGTTAGCGCCGGCGGCGTGGCGGTTGATGCGGAGCGGCTTCCTTCGCCGACGAGGGAGCAAAGGCGGCCCCGGCACGGTGGTGGACAAACACCACTCCCGTTGGTGCGTCGTTGAAGCCTTAATAGGTGCTCGCTAACAGCGCTGTTGCGTGTGTGGGCGTGTGCGTGCGTTGTGCGTGTGTTGTGCGTGAGCGCGCGTGTGCGTGTGTGTGTGTGTGCGTGTGTTGTGTGTGTGTGTGTATGTGCGTGTGTTGTGCGTGTGTGCGTGCATGTGTGCGTGCGTGTGTGTGCGTGTGTGTGTGCGTGTGTTGTGCGTGTGTGCGTGCATGTGTGCGTGTGTATGTGTGCGTGCGTGTGTGCGTGTGTGTGTGTGCGTGTGTGCGTGTGTGCGTGTGTGTGTGTGCGTGTGTGCGTGCGTGTGCGTGCGTGCGTACGTGTGCGTGCGTGTGTGTGTGCGTGTGCGTGTGTTGTGCGTGTGTGTGCGTGTGTTGTGCGTGTGTGCGTGCGTGTGTGCGCGTGTGTGTGTACGTGCGGTGCCCAGCCTTTTTCTCACTTGTTATGCTCAAAGAACATAAAATCCTGCACACACACACACAGGTACACACACAGTGTACACACACACACAGGTACACATAGATCCCCCATGTAGCCTGTAACAGACTGTAGGGGCAAGTGCTGTTAGCGAGCACCTATGAAGGCCGGAACGGTACACGAGGGGGTGGGTGGCCAGCACCACGCCCGACCGCCTTTGTCTCCCCAGTGGCAATGTTTTTTTCCACCGCACCAGCTACTCATTTGAGGCTGAGTCGACCTAGGGGAGGCCCAGGACCGGTTCAGATAATCGTCACTGGTGTTGGCCGTGAGCGGGAATCAAACCCGGGTCGCCAGGTTCATAGCGCAGCGCGCTAACCGCTACACTACCGCTCCCCACCCACACACACAGGTACACACACAGGTACACACACAGGTACACACACACACACAGGTACATACACAGTGTACACACACAGGGTACACACACACAGGTACACACACACAGGTACATACACAGTGTACACACACAGGGTACACACACACACAGGTACACACACACACAGGGTACACACACACAGGTACACACACACAGGTACACACACAGGTACACACACACACATACACACACAGGCACACACACACAGGTACGCACACACAGGTACACACACACACAGGTACGCACACACAGGTACGCACACACAGGTACACACACACACAGGTACGCACACACAGGTACACACACACAGGTACGCACACACAGGTACACACACACAGGTACACACACACACACAGGTACACACACAGGTACACACACGCAGGTACACACACACAGGTACACACACGCAGGTACACACACGCAGGTACACACACGCAGGTACACACGCAGGTACACACACGCAGGTACACACACACAGGTACACACACACAGGTACACACACACAGGTACACACACGCAGGTACACACACACAGGTACACACACAGGTACATACACACAGGTACACACACACAGGTACACACACACACAGGTACACACACACAGGTACACACAATAACATAATTAAACCGTTGACGATGCCCCACCCGATACAACAATTCAAGAGTAAACACCAAGAGGTGTGTGCGTGCGTGCGTGCCAGTGCGTGCCAGTGCGTGCACGTGCGAGCGTGTGCGTGTGCGTGCCAGTGCGTGCCAGTGCGTGTGCGTGCGAGTGTGTGCGTGTGCGTGCCAGTGCGTGCGTGTGCCAGTGCGTGCCAGTGTGCGTGTGCGTGCCAGTGCGTGCGAGCGTGCGTGTTCGTGCCAGTGCGTGCGAGCGTGCGTGCCAGTGCGTGTGCGTGCCAGTGCAAGGGTGCCAGTGCGTGCGTGTGCGTGCCAGTGCGTGTGCGAGCGTGCCAGTGCGTGCCAGTGCGTGTGCGAGCGTGCCAGTGTGTATGCGTGTTCGTGCCAGTGCGTGTGCGTGCCAGTGTGCGTGTGCGAGCGTGCCAGTGCGTGTGCGTGCCAGTGCGTGCGTGTGCGTGCCAGTGCGTGCCAGTGCATGTGCGAGCGTGCCAGTGCGTGCCAGTGCGTGCCAGTGCATGTGCGAGCGTGTGAGCGTGCCAGTGCGTGTGCGAGCGTGCCAGTGCAAGGGTGCCAGTGCGTGTGCGAGCGTGCCAGTGTGTATGCGTGTTCGTGCCAGTGCGTGTGCGTGCGGGCGTGTGCGTGTGCGAGCGTGCCAGTGCATGTGCGTGCGTGCCAGTGCAAGGGTGCCAGTGCGTGTGCGTGCCAGTGCGTGCCAGTGCGAGCGTGCCAGTGCGTGGACGTACGATGAGGAAGCAGGCCCCGAGCAGCGTGGCCTTCACCTTGACGTCGAGGTCCATGGGGAACTGCACCCCGAAGTTCTCAGCGTCGGTGAAGGCCTCGCGCACCAAGCCAGTCCACTGCTTCGTGATCTTGCCCACCTCCGTCTCGCCGTCCTTGGCCAGCACCTGACACAGCCCGGGGTCACACCACACCGCCATTAACACGGGGGGCGGGGGCGGAAGGCGGGTCACACCACACCGCGATTAACACGGGGGTGAGGTCACACCACACCGCGATTAACACGGGCGGGGGCGGAAGGGGGGTCACACCACACCGCGATTAACACGGGCGGGGGCGGGAGGTCACACCACACCGAGATTAACACGGGGGGGGGGGGCGGGGGGGCACACCACACCGCCACGTGCGGATTTATCCGGGGACGGAGCACGGGGGGGAGACCGGAGAGAGAACGCGCGGGTGTCGGGAATGCACGGTTATCGGGGAGAGAGAGAGAGAGAGAGAGCGCACGGTTATCGGGAACCCTTGGAAACCGGGAACACGCAGATATCGGGGAGAGAATGCGTGGATATTTGGGGAGAGAGAGGGTACGCGGATATCGGGGAGAAAGAGCGCGCGGTTATCGGGAACGCTCGGAAATCGGCAACGCGCAGATATCCGCGGCACAGAACACGCGGATATTTGGGAGAGAATGCGCGGATATTGGGGAGAGCGAGTGCGCGGATATCGGGGGGATAGGGCGCGCGGATATCGGGAACGTGCCGGCGACAATTCAAATGCACGGTGCGTGCATTCCATCGTGAGGACTTACAATCAGAGTACCGCCAGTAATTACAACCGAACTTCATCAGGTGACAGCCACATTAGTGGAGGAGTTCTCCCGTTTAGCTCCTTGAACAGAGGGGTTTAGATGTGATGGCATCACGTGTGAATCCTTCTTGAGTGAGGTGAAGTGGGGGTGATCAATATAAACGACGATATCCATGCGCATTAACGCAAGCGTGTTGTTCCTGGAAGCGGAAATCCTAACACGTTAAACAGTTGTGAGATCTTATTTTGATTTAAAGCTTTCGTGACTGCAGGGATTCATATTCTTGGTTCTTTCGGTAAAGTCACCACCACCGCGTTAGAAGGGGAACAATACAATAATAAAAAATATAAAACAATACAATTATTATTCTTGGTTCTTTCGGTAAAGTCACCACCGCGTTAGAAGGGGAACAATAAAATAATAAAAATATAAAACAATAAAATTATTATTCTTGGTTCTTTCGGTAAAGTCACCACCGCGTTAGAAGGGGAACAATAAAATAATAAAAATATAAAACAATAAAATTATTATTCTTGGTTCTTTCGGTACCGCGTTAGAAGGGAAACAATAAAATAATAAAAATATAAAAAAATAAAATTATTATTCTTGGTTCTTTCGGTAAAGTCACCACCACGTTAGAAGGGAAACAATAAAATAATAAAAATATAAAACAATAAAATTATTATTCTTGGTTCTTTCGGTAAAGTCACCACCACGTTAGAAGGGGAACAATAAAATAATAAAAATATAAAACAATAAAATTATTATTCTTGGTTCTTTCGGTAAAGTCACCACCACGTTAGAAGGGAAACAATAAAGTAATAAAAATATAAAACAATAAAATTATTATTCTTGGTTCTTTCGGTAAAGTCACCACCACGTTAGAAGGGAAACAATAAAGTAATAAAAATATAAAACAATAAAATTATTATTCTTGGTTCTTTCGGTAAAGTCACCACCACGTTAGAAGGGGAACAATAAAATAATAAAAATATAAAACAATAAAATTATTATTCTTGGTTCTTTCGGTTATTGTCACCACCACGTTAGAAGGGGAACAATAAAATAATAAAAATATAAAACAATAAATTATTATTCTTGGTTCTTTCGGTAAAGTCACCGCCGCGTTAGAAGGGGAACAATAAAATAATAATATAAAACAATAAAATTATTATTCTTGGTTCTTTCGGTAAAGTCACCACCGCGTTAGAAGGGAAACAATAAAATAATAAACATATAAAACAATAAAATTCTCAACGACGTTTCGACTGCAACACGAGCAATCATCATCAGGTGTGAAAACCACGGCAAGAGAATTTGAAAAAAGTGGCGGTTATTTTTTTAACGCTCTCCGTGGTGCTAACGTAAAAAAAAACGCCACTTTTTTCAAATTTTCTTGCTGTGGTTATCACACCCGATGATGATTGCTTGTGTTGCAGTCGAAACGCCGTGAGAATTTTATCGTTTCATATTTTTCTTATTTTATTGTTTCCCCTTCTACGTGGTGGCGACTTTACCGAAAGAACCGAGAATGTGAATCGCCATGTAGAAGGGAAACAATAAAATAAAAAATAAAAATTGTATTATTATTTTTTTGTATTTTTTATTATTATTAAAACATATAAAAAAATTATTTTGGCTTATTTTATTGTTTCCCTTCTACGTGACATTACCGAAAGAACCAAGAATAACTGTGAACATATTCTTGGTTCTTTCGGCAAAGTCACCACGTAGAAGGGGAAACAATAAAATAAAAATAAGAATATTATTTTTTATTATTTTTTATTATATTATTATTAAAACATATAAAAATATATTTTGCCTTATTTTATTGTTTCCCCTCTACGTGGCTTTACCGAAAGAACCAAGAAAAACCGTGAACATATTCTTGGTTCTTTCGGCAAAGTCACCACGCAGAAGGGGAAACAATGAAAATTATAAAAGCACAAAATGATAAAAAAAATCTCGCGACGTTTCGACTGCAACGCAAGCAATCATCATCAGGTGTGAAACAGTTACATTTTACTTGGCCAACAACATCCTTCCCAACGGCTGTGTTAGTTCCTGCAAGTGACGGGTGAACAGCGGCATCTGAAAATCTACCCGGACTTTCAGCGGCGTAGCGGGACGCACGCTGCTTTGCTCTGAATCCATCCCTCCCCCCCCCACCCCAGAAACAGTAAAACGTGCGGTTATCGGGGAAAGCCGAGCCGGGCGAGCGGTTGTCGGGAAACGTGCGGTTATCGGGGAGCAAGCCGGGCGAGCGGTTGTCGGGAAACGCGCGGTTATCGGGGAGAGCCGAGCGGAGCCGGGCGAGCGGTTGTCGGGAAACGCGCGGTTATCGGGGAGAGCCCGAGCGGAGCCGGGCGAGCGGTTGTCGGGAAACGCGCGGTTATCGGGGAGCGAGCCGTGCGAGCGGTTGTCGGGAAACGCGCGGTTATCGGGGAGCGAGCCGGGCGAGCGGTTGTCGGGAAACGCGCGGTTATCGGGGAGCGAGCAAGTGGTTGTCGGGAAACGCGCGGTTATCGGGGAGCGAGCCAAGCCGAGCGAGCACCTTGAAATTGACGTCGGTGCAGCAGCGGCAGGGGATGCAGGGCCCTTTGATCTTGAGCACCTCCTCGCGCTCCGCGTTGAGCACGGAGAAGATGGGCAGGCAAATGTGCCACTTCTGGACGATGTAGCCGATGGGAGTGCCCGGCGGGGACTGCACCTCGATCTGACGCGGCGGCGACAGCAGAGGAAGTGACTCTTTCTCTCTCTCTCTCTTTCTCTCTCTCTCTCTCCCTCTCTCTTCTCTTTACCTGGCTGATAAGCCAGCCCCCTCTCTCCGGCTCACCGGAAATCGAGGTAGTTAACATCTCAGAGCCACCGTGATGATGATGATGATGAGAGAGAGAGAGAGAAAGAGAGACACACAGGCAAACTCCAAATATGCAGCAGCAGCAGCAGACATCGTCAGGGTCGGGATGGATCCCACGACCTCCTGCACACCAGGCGAGGGAGTTGACATCTCCTAGCCACCTTGGCACCCATGGTGGTGAGATGTTAAAGGCAAAGGCCCCCCCCCCCGTGTAGCCTTCGGTGGAATGCCGGGGCAAGTGCCGTCGAAGGGAAACGTGTACGCTGTGGGAATCTGGATGGCTAGGCTGGCTATTATGGCTAGGCTGGCTATTATGGCTAGGATGGCTAGGATGGCTATTATGGCTAGAATGGCTAGGATGGCTATTATGGTTAGGCTGGCTATTATGGTTAGGCTGGCTATTATGGCTAGGATGGCTATTATAGCTAGGCTGGCTATTATGGCTAGAATGGCTATTATGGCTAGGATGGCTATTATGGTTAGGCTGGCTATTATGGCTATTATGGCTATTATGGTTAGGATGGCTATTATGGCTAGGATGGCTATTATGGTTAGGATGGCTATTATGGCTAGGATGGCTATTATAGCTAGGCTGGCTATTATGGCTAGAATGGCTATTATGGTTAGGCTGGCTATTATGGCTATTATGGCTAGGATGGCTATTATGGTTAGGCTGGCTATTATGGCTATTATGGCTAGAATGGCTATTATGGCTAGGATGGCTATTATGGTTAGGCTGGCTATTATGGCTATTATGGCTAGGATGGCTATTATGGCTAGGATGGCTATTATGGCTAGGCTGGCTATTATGGCTATTATGGTTAGGATGGCTATTATGGCTAGGATGGCTATTATGGCTAGGATGGCTATTATGGTTAGGCTGGCTATTATGGCTATTATGGCTAGGATGGCTATTATGGCTAGGATGGCTATTATGGCTAGGATAGCTATTATGGTTAGGCTGGCTATTATGGCTATTATGGTTAGGATGGCTATTATGGCTAAGATGGCTATTATGGTTAGGCTGGCTATTATGGCTATTATGGCTAGAATGGCTAGGATGGCTATTATGGTTAGGCTGGCTATTATGGTTAGGATGGCTATTATGGCTAGGATGGCTATTATGGCTAGGATGGCTATTATGGCTAGAATGGCTATTATGGCTAGGATGGCTATTATGGTTAGGCTGGCTATTATGGCTATTATGGCTATTATGGTTAGGATGGCTATTATGGCTAAGATGGCTATTATGGTTAGGATGGCTATTATGGCTAGGATGGCTATTATAGCTAGGCTGGCTATTATGGCAAGAATGGCTATTATGGTTAGGCTGGCTATTATGGCTATTATGGCTAGGATGGCTATTATGGTTAGGCTGGCTATTATGGCTATTATGGCTAGAATGGCTATTATGGCTAGGATGGCTATTATGGTTAGGCTGGCTATTATGGCTATTATGGCTAGGATGGCTATTATGGCTAGGATGGCTATTATGGCTAGGCTGGCTATTATGGCTATTATGGTTAGGATGGCTATTATGGCTAGGATGGCTATTATGGTTAGGCTGGCTATTATGGCTATTATGGCTAGGATGGCTATTATGGCTAGGATGGCTATTATGGCTAGGATAGCTATTATGGTTAGGCTGGCTATTATGGCTATTATGGTTAGGGTGGCTATTATGGCTAGGATGGCTATTATGGTTAGGCTGGCTATTATGGCTATTATGGCTAGGATGGCTATTATGGCTAGGATGGCTATTATGGTTAGGCTGGCTATTATGGCTAGGATGGCTATTATGGCTAGGATGGCTATTATGGTTAGGCTGGCTATTATGGCTAGGATGGCTATTATGGTTAGGCTGGCTATTATGGCTAGAATGGCTATTATGGCTAGGATGGCTATTATGGCTAGGTTGGCTATTATGGCTAGGATGGCTATTATGGCTAAGATGGCTATTATGGCTAGGATGGCTATTATGGCTAGGATGGCTATTATGGCTAGGCTGGCTATTATGGCTATTATGGCTAGGATGGCTATTACGGCTAGGATGGCTATTATGGTTAGGCTGGCTATTATGGCTATTATGGCTAGGATGGCTATTATGGCTAGGATGGCTCTTATGGCTAGGCTGGCTATTATGGCTAGGCTGGCTATTATGGCTAGGCTGGCTATTATGGCTAGGCTGGCTATTATGGCTAGGATGGCTAGGATGGCTATTATGGCTAGGATGGCTGGGATGACTAGAATGGCTAGAATGACTATTATGGCTAGGATGGCTATTATGGCTAGGATGGCTGGGATAACTAGAATGGCTAGAATGACTATTATGGCTAGGATGGCTAGGATGGCTATTATGGCTAGGCTGGCTATTATGGCTAGGCTGGCTATTATGGCTAGGATGGCTGGGATGGCTAGGATGGCTAGGATGGCTATTATAGCTAGGCTGGCTATTATGGCTAGGCTGGCTATTATGGCTATTATGGCTGGGATGACTGGGATGACTAGGCTGGCTGGGATGACTAGGCTGGCTGGGATGACTAGGCTGGCTGGGATGACTAGGCTGGCTGGGCTGGCTGGGCTGGCTGGGATGACTAGGCTGGCTGGGATGACTAGGCTGGCTGGGATGACTAGGCTGGCTGGGATGACTAGGCTGGCTGGGATGACTAGGCTGGCTGGGCTGGCTGGGCTGGCTGGGCTGGCTGGGATGACTAGGCTGGCTGGGATGACTAGGCTGGCTGGGATGACTAGGCTGGCTGGGATGACTAGGCTGGCTGGGCTGGCTGGGCTGGCTGGGATGACTAGGCTGGCTGGGATGACTAGGCTGGCTGGGATGACTAGGCTGACTGGGATGACTAGGCTGGCTGGGATGACTAGGCTGGCTGGGATGACTAGGCTGGCTGGGATGACTAGGCTGGCTGGGCTGGCTGGGCTGGCTGGGATGACTAGGCTGGCTGGGATGACTAGGCTGGCTGGGATGACTAGGCTGGCTGGGATGACTAGGCTGGTTGGGATGACTAGGCTGGCTGGGATGACTAGGCTGGCTGGGATGACTAGGCTGGCTGGGATGACTAGGCTGGCTGGGATGACTAGGCTGGCTGGGGTGACTAGGCTGGCTGGGATGACTAGGCTGGCTGGGATGACTAGGCTAGCTGGGATGACTAGGCTGGCTGGGATGACTAGGCTGGCTGGGATGACTAGGCTGGCTGGGATGACTAGGCTAGCTGGGATGACTAGGCTGGCTGGGATGACTAGGCTGGCTGGGATGACTAGGCTGGCTGGGCTGGCTGGGCTGGCTGGGATGACTAGGCTGGCTGGGATGACTAGGCTGGCTGGGATGACTAGGCTGGCTGGGATGACTAGGCTGGCTGGGATGACTAGGCTGGCTGGGATGACTAGGCTGGCTGGGATGACTAGGCTGGCTGGGATGACTAGGCTGGCTGGGATGACTAGGCTGGCTGGGCTGGCTGGGCTGGCTGGCCAGGCTGGCTGGCCCATTCCTCCATTCTCCCATCCCTCACCCCCCATCTCCCCCTCCCATCACTCCTCCCATCAACACCTCTCACCCCACCACCACCACCACGCCCCTCCACGATCTCACCTCCTGCAGGCAACAGGGGCAGCAGCAGCTGCCGCATCGTAGCGGGCGGTGCAGGTGCAGCACCTCCTGCCCGGCGTTGTCCGTCACCTGGATCTCGAACGGACGCAGGGGCCCGCAGCACTGGCGGGTACAGCAGTCAGTGCGCTCTGCCGCAAAGTAAACCTGCTGGCCCACACTGTTCTTCACCACGTAGCGGTTGTTCGTCTCGAAGCCCAGGATGGCTGTCGTGCGGGGAGGGGGAGGGGAGGGGGGGGGGGAGGAGGGGGGGGAGGGGGAGAGGGGGGGAGGGGGGGGGGAGAGGGGGAGGGGGGAGAGGGGGAGAGGGGAGGAGGAGAGGAGGAGGAGGAGAGGAGGAGGGGGAGAGGAGGAGGGGGGAGGAGGAGGGGTGGAAGAGGAAGAGGGAGGAGGAGGAGGAAGAGGGGAGGAGGAGGGGGGGAGGAGAGGGTGAGGAGGAGGAAGGAAGGGGAGGGGGGGAGGAGGAGGGGGGAGGAGGGGGCAGCGTTTCGGGGAGAGATTTGGGGGTGGAGTTTGTGGAGGGGGGAGGGGTTTGGGGTGGGGTTTGTGGAGGGGGGAGGGGTTTGTGGAGGGGTTTTGGGGTGGGGTTTGTGGAAGGGGGAGGGGTTTGGGGGAAGGTTGAGCCATCGTCAGGCTTCATCAGCTGTCAGTCATCTACAGCCTTCAGCCATCATCATTCAGCCTTCAGCCATCATCATTCAGCCTTCAGCCATCATCATTCAGCCTTCAGCCATCGTCAGCCATCATCATTCAGCCTTCAGCCATCGTCAGCCATCGTCATCAGCCTTCAGCCTTCATCATTCAGCCTTCAGCCATCGTCGTCAGCCTTCAGCCATCGTCATTCAGCCTTCAGCCATCGTCATTCAGCCTTCAGCCATCATCATTCAACCTTCAGCCATCGTCAGCCTTCAGCCATCGTCATTCAGCCTTCAGCCATCATCATTCAGCCTTCAGCCATCGTCATCAGCCTTCAGCCATCGTCATCAGCCTTCAGCCATCGTCATTCAGCCTTCAGCCATCATCGTCAGCCTTCAGCCATCGTCGTCAGCCTTCAGCCATCGTCATTCAGCCTTCAGCCATCATCATTCAGCCTACAGCCATCGTCATCAGCCTTCAGCCATCGTCATCAGCCTTCAGCCATCGTCATTCAACCTTCAGCCATCATCGTCAGCCTTCAGCCATCGTCATTCAGCCTTCAGCCATCATCATCAGCCTTCAGCCATCATCGTCAGCCTTCAGCCATCATCATTCAGCCTTCAGCCATCGTCATCAGCCTTCAGCCATCATCATTCAGCCTTCAGCCATCGTCAGCCTTCAGCCATCGTCATTCAGCCTTCAGCCATCATCATCAGCCTTCAGCCATCATCGTCAGCCTTCAGCCATCATCATTCAGCCTTCAGCCATCGTCATCAGCCTTCAGCCATCATCATTCAGCCTTCAGCCATCGTCATCAGCCTTCAGCCATCATCATTCAGCCTTCAGCCATCGTCATTCAGCCTTCAGCCATCATCGTCAGCCTTCAGCCATCATCATTCAGCCTTCAGCCATCGTCATTCAGCCTTCAGCCATCATCATTCAGCCTTCAGCCATCATCATTCAGCCTTCAGCCATCGTCATCAGCCTTCAGCCATCATCATTCAGCCTTCAGCCATCGTCATTCAGCCTTCAGCCATCATCATTCAGCCTTCAGCCATCATCATTCAGCCTTCAGCCATCGTCATTCAGCCTTCAGCCATCGTCATCAGCCTTCAGCCATCATCATTCAGCCTTCAGCCATCGTCAGCCTTCAGCCATCATCATTCAGCCTTCAGCCATCATCATTCAGCCTTCAGCCATCGTCATCAGCCTTCAGCCATCATCATTCAGCCTTCAGCCATCGTCATTCAGCCTTCAGCCATCATCATTCAGCCTTCAGCCATCATCATTCAGCCTTCAGCCATCGTCATTCAGCCTTCAGCCATCGTCAGCCTTCAGCCATCGTCATTCAGCCTTCAGCCTTCATCATTCAGCCTTCAACCATCATCATTCAGCCTTCAGCCTTCATCATTCAGCCTTCAGCCATCGTCGTCAGCCTTCAGCCATCGTCGTCAGCCTTCAGCCATCATCATTCAGCCTTCAGCCTTCATCATTCAGCCTTCAGCCATCATCGTCAGCCTTCAGCCATCATCGTCAGCCTTCAGCCATCGTCATTCAGCCTTCAGCCATCGTCATTCAGCCTTCAGCCATCATCATTCAGCCTTCAGCCATCATCGTCAGCCTTCAGCCATCATCGTCAGCCTTCAGCCATCATCATTCAGCCTTCAGCCATCGTCATTCAGCCTTCAGCCATCGTCATCAGCCTTCAGCCATCGTCATTCAGCCTTCAGCCATCGTCGTCAGCCTTCAGCCATCGTCATCAGCCATCGTCATTCAGCCTTCAGCCATCATCATTCAGCCTTCAGCCATCGTCATTCAGCCTTCAGCCATCATCGTCAGCCTTCAGCCATCGTCATTCAGCCTTCAGCCATCATCATTCAGCCTTCAGCCATCGTCATCAGCCTTCAGCCATCATCATTCAGCCTTCAGCCATCATCATTCAGCCTTCAGCCATCGTCATTCAGCCTTCAGCCATCATCGTCAGCCTTCAGCCATCGTCATTCAGCCTTCAGCCATCGTCGTCAGCCTTCAGCCATCATCATCAGCCTTCAGCCATCGTCATTCAGCCTTCAGCCATCATCGTCAGCCTTCAGCCATCGTCATTCAGCCTTCAGCCATCGTCGTCAGCCTTCAGCCATCGTCATTCAGCCTTCAGCCATCATCATTCAGCCTTCAGCCATCATCGTCAGCCTTCAGCCATCATCATCAGCCTTCAGCCATCATCATTCAGCCTTCAGCCATCGTCATTCAGCCGTCAGCCATCGTCATTCAGCCTTCAGCCATCGTCATTCAGCCTTCAGCCATCGTCATTCAGCTGTCAGCCATCGTCATTCAGCCTTCAGCCATCGTCATTCAGCCTTCAGCCATCATCATTCAGCCTTCAGCCATCATCATTCAGCCTTCAGCCATCATCATTCAGCCTTCAGCCATCGTCATTCAGCCTTCAGCCATCGTCATTCAGCCTTCAGCCATCGTCATTCAGCCTTCAGCCATCGTCATTCAGCTGTCAGCCATCGTCATTCAGCCTTCAGCCATCATCATTCAGCCTTCAGCCATCATCATTCAGCCTTCAGCCATCGTCATTCAGCCTTCAGCCATCATCATTCAGCTGTCAGCCATCGTCATTCAGCCTTCAGCCATCGTCATTCAGCCTTCAGCCATCATCATTCAGCCTTCAGCCATCATCATTCAGCCTTCAGCCATCATCATTCAGCCTTCAGCCATCATCATTCAGCCTTCAGCCATCATCATTCAGCCTTCAGCCATCATCGTCAGCCTTCAGCCATCATCATTCAGCCTTCAGCCATCATCGTCAGCCTTCAGCCATCATCATTCAGCCTTCAGCCATCATCATTCAGCCTTCAGCCATCATCGTCAGCCTTCAGCCATCATCATTCAGCCTTCAGCCATCGTCATTCAGCCGTCAGCCATCGTCATTCAGCCTTCAGCCATCATCATTCAGCCTTCAGCCATCGTCATTCAGCCTTCAGCCATCGTCATTCAGCCTTCAGCCATCATCATTCAGCCTTCAGCCATCGTCATTCAGCCTTCAGCCATCGTCATTCAGCCTTCAGCCATCGTCATTCAGCCTTCAGCCATCGTCATCAGCCTTCAGCCATCGTCGTTCAGCCTTCAGCCATCGTCATTCAGCCTTCAGCCATCATCATTCAGCCTTCAGCCATCGTCATTCAGCCTTCAGCCATCGTCGTCAGCCTTCAGCCATCGTCATTCAGCCTTCAGCCATCATCATTCAGCCTTCAGCCTTCATCATTCAGCCTTCAGCCATCGTCATTCAGCCTTCAGCCATCATCATTCAGCCTTCAGCCATCATCATTCAGCCTTCAGCCATCATCATTCAGCCTTCAGCCATCATCATTCAGCCTTCAGCCATCATCGTCAGCCTTCAGCCATCGTCATTCAGCCTTCAGCCATCGTCATTCAGCCTTCAGCCATCGTCATTCAGCCTTCAGCCATCATCATTCAGCCTTCAGCCATCATCGTCAGCCTTCAGCCATCATCATTCAGCCTTCAGCCATCGTCATTCAGCCTTCAGCCATCATCATTCAGCCTTCAGCCATCATCATTCAGCCTTCAGCCATCATCATTCAGCCTTCAGCCATCGTCATTCAGCCTTCAGCCATCATCATTCAGCCTTCAGCCATCATCATTCAGCCTTCAGCCATCATCATTCAGCCTTCAGCCATCATCGTCAGCCTTCAGCCATCGTCATTCAGCCTTCAGCCATCGTCATTCAGCCTTCAGCCATCGTCATTCAGCCTTCAGCCATCATCGTCAGCCTTCAGCCATCATCGTCAGCCTTCAGCCATCGTCGTCAGCCTTCAGCCATCGTCATTCAGCCTTCAGCCATCGTCATTCAGCCTTCAGCCATCATCGTCAGCCTTTAGCCATCGTCATTCAGCCTTCAGCCATCATCGTCAGCCTTCAGCCTTCATCATTCAGCCTTCAGCCATCGTCATTCAGCCTTCAGCCATCATCATTCAGCCTTCAGCCATCATCATTCAGCCTTCAGCCATCATCATTCAGCCTTCAGCCATCGTCATCAGCCTTCAGCCATCGTCATTCAGCCTTCAGCCATCGTCGTCAGCCTTCAGCCATCATCATTCAGCCTTCAGCCATCGTCATCAGCCTTCAGCCATCATCGTCAGCCTTCAGCCTTCATCATTCAGCCTTCAGCCATCGTCATCAGCCTTCAGCCATCGTCATTCAGCCTTCAGCCATCGTCGTCAGCCATCAGCCATCATCATTCAGCCTTCAGCCATCGTCAGCCTTCAGCCTTCAGCCATCGTCACCCTTCAGCCTTCAGCCATCGTCAGCCTTCAGCCTTCAGCCATCGTCATTCAGCCTTCAGCCATCGTCAGCCTTCAGCCTTCAGCCATCGTCATTCAGCCTTCAGCCATCGTCAGCCTTCAGCCTTCAGCCATCGTCAGCCTTCAGCCTTCAGCCATCATCATTCAGCCTTCAGCCATCGTCATCAGCCTTCAGCCATCGTCATTCAGCCTTCAGCCATCGTCGTCAGCCTTCAGCCATCATCATTCAGCCTTCAGCCATCGTCATCAGCCTTCAGCCATCATCGTCAGCCTTCAGCCTTCATCATTCAGCCTTCAGCCATCGTCATCAGCCTTCAGCCATCGTCATTCAGCCTTCAGCCATCGTCGTCAGCCTTCAGCCATCATCATTCAGCCTTCAGCCATCGTCAGCCTTCAGCCTTCAGCCATCGTCACCCTTCAGCCTTCAGCCATCGTCAGCCTTCAGCCTTCAGCCATCGTCATTCAGCCTTCAGCCATCGTCAGCCTTCAGCCTTCAGCCATCGTCATCAGCCTTCAGCCATCGTCAGCCTTCAGCCTTCAGCCATCATCGTCAGCCTTCAGCCTTCAGCCATCGTCAGCCTTCAGCCTTCAGCCATCATCATTCAGCCTTCAGCCATCGTCATCAGCCTTCAGCCATCGTCATTCAGCCTTCAGCCATCGTCGTCAGCCTTCAGCCATCATCATTCAGCCTTCAGCCATCGTCATCAGCCTTCAGCCATCATCGTCAGCCTTCAGCCTTCATCATTCAGCCTTCAGCCATCGTCATCAGCCTTCAGCCATCGTCATTCAGCCTTCAGCCATCGTCGTCAGCCTTCAGCCATCATCATTCAGCCTTCAGCCATCGTCAGCCTTCAGCCTTCAGCCATCGTCACCCTTCAGCCTTCAGCCATCGTCAGCCTTCAGCCTTCAGCCATCGTCATTCAGCCTTCAGCCATCGTCAGCCTTCAGCCTTCAGCCATCGTCATCAGCCTTCAGCCATCGTCAGCCTTCAGCCTTCAGCCATCATCGTCAGCCTTCAGCGAGAGGCGCTGCCGTCGCTGTGTTGGCGGCATTCCGTGGCAGTTGGGGGGGTGTGGCCAGGCAGTTGGGGGGGTGTGGCAGTTGGGGGGGTGTGGCGGTTGGGGGGGGTGTGGCAGTTGGGGGGGGTGTGGCAGTTGGGGGGGGTGTGGCAGTTGGGGGGGGTGTGGCAGTTGGGGGGTGTGGCGAGGTGGTAGGTGGGGGGGGGTCTCTCCGCTCACCTTCCAGCAGCTCCACCTGCTGGTGGACCAGCACCTGGTCGATCTGCACGCGTGACAAAGACAAAGGTCCCCCGTGTAGCCTTGGCAATTCAGTCGGGGGCAAGTGCTGTTAGCGCTGTGGCACACGAGGGGGTGGGTGGCTACCAGCACCACGCCCGGCCGCCTTTGTCTCCCGAAGTGGCGATGTTTACACATTACACCAGGTACTAATTTGAGGCTGAGTCGACCTAGGGGAGGCCCAAAACCCGTTTAGATAATCGTCACCGCCAGTGTTGGCCGGGAGCGGGAATTGAACTTGGGTGGCTAGGGTCGTAGCGCAGCGTAGCGCTAACCACTACACTACCACTCCCCACACACACACAGTACAGACACACACCCCTACAGACACACACACGCACCTACAGACACACCTACAGACACACACACATCTACAGACACACACACCTACAGACACACACACACACCTACAGACACACACCTACAGACACACACACACACACCTACAGACACACACCTACAGACACACACACCTACAGACACACACACACACCTACACACACACCTACAGACACACACACACCTACAGACAAAAAGACAAAGATCCCCCATATAGCCTTAACAGACTGTAGGGGCAAGTGCTGTTAGCGAGCAACTATGAAGGCCGGAACGGTACACGAAAGGGTGGGTGGCCAGCACCACGCCCGACCGCCTTTGTCTCCCAAGTAGCAATGTTTACACACCGCACCAGGTACTCATTTGAGGCTGAGTCGACCTAGGGGAGGCCCGGGACCGGTTCAGATAATCGTCACTGGTGTTGGCCGTGAGCGGGAATCGAACCCGGGTCGCCAGGTTCATAGCGCAGCGCGCTAACCGCTACACTACCGCTCCCCCCAAACCTACAAACACACACCTACAGACATACCTACAGACACACCTACAGACACACACACCTACACCTACACACACCTACACCTACACACACCTACACCTACAGACACACACCTACAGACACACACCTACAGACACACACACACCTACAGACACACACCTACACACACACACCTACAAACACACACCTACAGACACACACCTACAGACACACACACACACACCTACAGACACACACACACACCTACACACACACCTACAGACACACACCTACACACACACACACCTACAGACACACCTACAGACACACACACACCTACACCTACATACACCTACACACACCTACACCTACACACACCTACACCTACACACACACACCTACAGACACACACCTACAGACACACACACCTACAGACACACACCTACACACACACACCTACACACACACACCTACAAACACACACCTACAGACACACACCTACAGACACACACACACCTACAGACACACACACACCTACACACACACACCTACAGACACACACCTACACACACACACCTACAGACACACCTACAGACACGCACACCTACAGACACGCACACCTACAGACACACCTACAGACACACACACACCTACAGACACACCTACAGACACACACACACCTACAGACACACACACACCTACAGACACACACCTACACACACTTACACCTACACACACACACCTACACACACACACCTACAGACACACACCTACACACACTTACACCTACACACACACACCTACAGACACACACCTACAGACACACACGCTCGTGCCAATGCAAATATTGCCCACGCGCGTTGCCAGACAGCTGCGTATTGCGCAAACGGAGTCCGCCCTGAATCATCGTGGGCACGGCTGTTTACACTCGGGGTGAGGGTTCCATCCCGACCCTGACGACGCCTGCTGCTGCATGTTTGGAGTCTGCGTCTCTCTCTCATCATCATCACGGTGGCTAGGAGATGTTGACTACCTCGCCTGGTCTGCAGGAGGTCGTGGGTTCCATCCCGACCCTGACACCTGCTGTGTAGGTGGAGTTTGCTTGTCTCTCTCATCATCATCATCATCACGGTGGCTAGGAGATGTTGACTACCTCGCCTGGTTTACAGGAGGTCGTGGGTTCCATCCCGACCCTGACGACGCCTGCTGCTGTAGATTTGGAGTCTGCGCGTCTCTCTCTCTCTCATTATCATCACGGTGGCTAGGAGATGTTGACTACCTCGCCTCGTTCACAGGAGGTCGTGGGTTCGATCCCGACCCTGACGACGCCTGCTGCTGTATATTTGGAGTCTGCGTCTCTCTCTCTCATCATCATCATCACGGTGGCTATGAGATGTTGACTACCTCGCCTGGTGTACAGGAGGTCGTGGGTTCCATCCCGACCCTGACGACTCCTGCTGCTGCATGTTTGGAGTCTGTGTCTCTCTCTCATCATCTTCATCATCATGGTGGCTAGGAGATGTTGACTACCTCGCCTGGTCTACAGGAGGTCGTGGGTTCAATCCCGGCCCTGACGATGCCTGCTGCTGTAGATTTGGAGTCTGTGTCTGTCTCTCATCATCATCATCATCGTCACGGTGGCTAGGAGATGTTGACTACCTCGCCTGGTGTGCAGGAGGTCGTGGGTTCAATCCCGACCCTGACGACGCCTGCTGCTGTATATTTGGAGTCTGCGTCTCTCTCTCATCATCATCACGGTGGCTATGAGATGTTGACTACCTCGCCTCGTTCACAGGAGGTCGTGGGTTCCAAACCGACCCTGACGACGCCTGCTGCTGCTGTAACATTTGGAGTCTGTGTGTCTCTCTCTCTCTCTCTCGTCACCATCATCATCATCATCTCATCATCATCAGCTCAGTTGATGATGATGATGACGATGATGATGCAGCGAGCACGTGTGGCCAAAAGGGTCGCTTCGGAGGCGAAGCGCTAGCTACGCTTAGCTCAGTGGGATCCTCCACCTGCGTCACCTGCCACGTGCACCGTGCCTGGTGCGCCAGTGCCGAACTCCGTTGGCGCCGTGCTCAGCCCAGCAGTGCCCATCAGCGGTGCCGCCGGGGGAATGACACTCAAACCGTGGGTCTCTGTGTGGTAAACTGGACTCCCGTGGTAAACTGGACTCCCGTGGTAAACTGGAGCTCCATGGTAAAGTGGACCCCCCGTGGTAAAGTGGACCCCCAGTGGTAAACTGGACTTCCGTAATAAACTGGACTCCCGTGGTAAACTGGACCCCCCTGGTAAACTGGATTCCCATGGTAAACTGGACTGCCGTGGTAAATTGGATCCCCATGGTAAAGTGGACCCCCCCTGGTAAACTGGACTCCCATGGTAAACTTGGACTGCCGTGGTAAACTGGACTCCCATGGTAAATTGGATCACCATGGTAAACTGGACTCCCGTGGTAAACTGGAGCTCCATGGTAAAGTGGACCCCCATGGTAAACTGGACTCCCGTTGTAAACTGGACCCCCATGGTAAACTGGATCCCAGCGGTAAACTGAATCCCAACGGTAAACTGGACTCCCACGGTAAAGTGGACCCCCCGTGGTAAACTGGATCCCCATGGTAAACTGGACCCCCGTGGTAAACTGGACCCCCGTGGTAAACTGGATCCCAACGGTAAACTGGACTCCCCTGGTAAACTGGCCCCCAGTGGTAAACTGGACTCCCAAACATCAAGTCGAGCCACTTTTTGCTCCACCGCCACCGCAAACTTCATGGTAAAGTGGACCCCCATGGTAAACTGAACCCTCATGGTAAAGTGGCCCCCCGTGGTAAAAACATCAGCCTAAGACTAAAAGAACATCAGAGAAACATTAAATTATCTCAAACACAACTGTCGGCAGTGGCAGAGCATGCCTGTCAACAAGGACGCTCAGTTGATTTTGACAATGTTGCAGTGGTGCGTAAAACTAATTATTACCGGCAAAGACTAATTAGAGAATCCGTTGAAATTGAGAGGAACAAGAATAACTTTAATGGCTCTGACAGCTACGGGCTTAGTGCGGCCTGGAAGCGTATTGTTAAATAGTACACATTACATTTTGATTTAAAGCTTTAGTGGCTGCAGTGATTCATGTTCTTGGCTCTTTCGATGGAGTCGCGTTGGGGGGGGAAGCAATACCATAATGGAATATCTATGTTTGTTTGTTTCGTTGTTTCACTTCGGCGTGGCTTTGCCGAGGAAGCTAAGAATATGAATGCACATTACAATTCCTCATAGGGGAAACACATACTAATTAACGGATTACTAACATAGCATATAATCACAATAACACGCATTACAACTAATTACTAATCTACAACTCATTACTAATCATAACCAATGACTGATTGCTAATGGATTATATAATTACAATACCCCCCTCCGCCTCTAATCACTGCAACTGATATGAGTTAAGTGATGACGTCAGCCTGCTGCTGCTGCTCTATATAAAACCGGGAGCAAGCGAGGGCTTTACCATTCTGGCGAATTGCCCGATGATGATGCTGGGGATGTATTTACCAGCGAAACGTCGTACTCAAACTGTAAATGTTGTGGATTCACTCTTCAACACACCGGTGGGCTAAAGTAGTGAACTAATTGTCCTTTGTCAACGTGACACTTTTTTTTGCTGATTGGCCGTGTCGGGTGGTGGAGGGTTACGACACATTTATAAACAACGCGATCCAACCCAAAAACACCTTTATTATGGATGATCACTACGATGACGTCGTCAATGACGACGATGTCGATGATCACTACGATGACGTCATCGACGACGATGACGACAGCGATGACGTCGTCAACGGTGACGATGACAATGTAGACGATATCCTTAGCTTTTGATTTAAAGCTTTCGTGACTGCAGTAATTCATATTCTTAGTTTTTTCGGTAAAGTCACGTTGAAGAGAAACAACAAAATAACAAAATATATATAAAACAATAAAAAATTATCACGACGTTTCGACCATAACTCAAACGGTCATCATCAGGTGTGTCGGTTTGCATAAATTTATGCCGTTTTCAAAATAAATTTATGCAAACCGACACACCTGATGATGACCGTTTGAGTTATGGTCGAAACGTCGTGAGAATTTTTTATTGTTTTATATATATTTTGTTATTTTGTTGTTTCTCTTCAGCGTGACTTTACCGAAAAAACTAAGAATATGATATCCTTAGCTCTTTGGGCAAAGTCACGTTGAAGGGAAACAATAAAATAATAAAAATATATATCTATAAAACAATAAAAAAATTCTCACGACGTTTCGACCATAACACAAACGATGACGACCCCTTTGTGTTATGGTCGAAACGTCGTGAGAATTTTTTTGTTTAATTGTTTTATAGATATATTTTATTATTGTATTGTTTCCCTTCAACGTGACTTTACCCAAAGAGCTAAGAATATGAATTTACTGCAGTCACGAAAGCTTTTTAAATCAAAATTTACGGTAGACGATGTCACGGCGGGAGGTGTTGCTAGGCCGTGACTCAAGCGGGGAGGGGTTACGCAATCCGGGGAGGGTGAGGGAGGGGTTACGCAATCCGGGGGAGGGTGAGGGCGGGGTTACGCAATCCGGGGGAGGGTGAGGGGAGGATTACGCAATCGGGGGTGGGGTCGGATTGCCCAATCCTCACGAGTCAAACGATTTCCGGTTCATGAATATTCATGAGGAAATTGTCTGCGCGAAACCTCGTGTTTATAGGTATCGGGATGCGTACAGCGAGGGGGGGAAAAAAAACAGTATTTGATCCCCTGCTGCTTTTGTACGTTTGCCCACCGACAAAAAAAATGATCGGTCTATAATTTTAATGGTAGGTTTATTTGAACAGTGAGAGGCAGAATAATAACAACAACAAAAATCCAGAAAAACGGCATGTAACATTTTTTTTATAAATTGATTTGCATTTTAATGAGGGAAATAAGTATTTGACCCCTCTGAATAACATGACTTAGTACTTGGTGGCAAAACCCTTGTTGGCAATCACAGAGGTCAGACGTTTCTTGTAGTTGGCCACCAGGTTTGCACACATCTCAGGAGGGATTTTTTGTCCCACTCCTCTTTGCAGATCTTCTCCAAGTCATTAAGGTTTCGAGGCTGACGTTTGGCAACTCGAACCTTCAACTCCCTCCACAGATATTTTTTTATGGGATTAAGGTCTGGAGACTGGCTAGGCCACTCCAGGACCTTAATGTGCTTCTTCTTGAGCCACTCCTTTGTTGCCTTGGCCGTGCGTTTTGGGTCATTGTCATGCTGGAATACCCATACACGACCCATTTTCAATGCCCTGGCTGAGGGAAGGAGGTTCTCACCCAAGATTTGACGGTACATGGCCCCGTCCATCGTCCCTTTGATGCGGTGAAGTTGTCCTGTCCCCTTAGCAGAAAAACACCCCCAAAGCATAATGTTTCCACCTCCATGTTTGACGGTGGGGATGGTGTTCTTGGGGTCATAGGCAGCATTCCTCCTTCTCCAAACACGGCGAGTTGAGTTGATGCCAAAGAGCTCCATTTTGGTCTCATCTGACCACAACACTTTCACCCAGTTGTCCTCTGAATCATTCAGATGTTTATTGGCAAACTTCAGACAGGCATGTATATGTGCTTTCTTGAGCAGGTGGACCTTGCGGGCGCTGCAGGATTTCAGTCCTTCACGGCGTAGTGTGTTACCAATTGTCTTCTTGGTGACTATGGTCCCAGCTGCCTTGAGATCATTGACAAGATACTCCCGTGTAGTTCTGGGCTGATTCCTCACCGTTCTCATGATCATTGCAATTCTACGAAGTGAGATCTTGCATGGAGCCCCAGGCCGAGGGAAATTTACAATTCTTTTGTGTTTCTTCCATTTGCGAATAATCGCACCAACTGTTGTCACCTTCTCACCAAGCTGCTTGGCAATGGTCTTGTAGCCATTCCAGCATTGTGTAGGTCTACAATCTTGTCCCTGACATCATTGGAGAGCTCTTTGGTCTTGGCCATGGTAGAGAGTTTGGAATCTGATTGATTGATTGCTTCTGTGGACAGGTGTCTTTTATACAGGTAACAAGCTGAGATTAGGAGCACTCCCTTTAAGAGTGTGCTCCTAATCTCAGCTCGTTACCTGTATAAAAGACACCTGGGAGCCAGAAATCTTTCTGATTGAGAGGGGGTCAAATACTTATTGCCCTCATTAAAATGCAAATCAATTTATAACATTTTTGACATGCGTTTTTCTGGATTTTGTTGTTGTTATTCTGTCTCTCACTGTTCAAATAAACCTACCATTAAAATTATAAACTGATCATTTCTTTGTTAGTGGGCAAACGTACAAAATCAGCAGGGGATCAAATACTTTTTTCCATCACTGTACCTGTTACACCTTACACTACTATACACTACACTACACACTACACTATACACTACACTACTATACACTACACTACTATACACTACACTACTACACACTACTCTATACACTACACTATACACTACACTATACACTACTATACACTACACTACTACACACTACACTACTATACACTACACTATACACTACACTATACACTACACTATACACTACTATACACTACACTATACAATACACTACACACTACTATTCACACTATACACTACTATACACACTACACTACTATACACTACACTATACACTACACTACTATACACTACACTACTATACACTATACTACACACTACACTGCTATACACTACACTACAACATACCTGTTACCCCTTATCAGTGCCCTACCTTGTTACAGACCAATTCAGACCTTCGTGGTCACCCCGTGCCGACTATAAACCTCAACGCTCATCCATCATCACAAGGGAGACAACACACACCCATGGACACTCACATTTGTGAGGCCCGCATTGAAACGTCTGTACGCAGTATGGAGCTCAAGACCCAATTTCCCCGTACATGAATACGGAATAGACCGTTACGGGTTGGCAGATATCAGGTTGATAAGTACAAATATAGAAATTTAAAGAAGGATTAACCCTATTTCGTCAAAAACAAACACAGGCGGTGGCTTAACAACTCTGGGTTTGTTTTAGTGGCACCGAGTCGTAAGGCCTCGTGGAAGCTATTGCAGCTCCTGTTCCAGAAGCCACCCCCGGCTATCACGAATGGTAGCTCATACGGAGTGGGAGACTCTCGCGTGGAAATTGACGAGCGGCGCAAATAGCTCGCAGACTCCAAATATACAGCAGCAGCAGCAGCAGGCGTCAGGGGTCGGGATCGAACCCACGACCTCCTGTGGACCAGGCGAGGTAGTCAACATCTCCTAGCCACCGTGATCATGATGATGATGAGAGAGACACGCAGACTCCAAATATACAGCAGCAGCAGCAGCAGGCGTCAGGGGTCGGGATCGAACCCACGACATCCTGTACACCAGGCGAGGTAGTCAACATCTCTTAGTCACCGTGATGATGATGATGATGATGGAGAGACACGCAAATTCCAAATATACAGCAGCAGGCATCGTCAGGGTCCGGATTGAACACACGGACTCCTGTAGACCAGGCGAGGTAGTCAACATCTCCTAGCCACCGTGATGATGATGATGAGAGAGAGAGACCCACAAACTCCGAATATACAGCAGCAGCAGCAGGCATCAGGGCTGGGGTCGAACCCACGACCTCCTCTCTTGTAGACCAGGCGAGGTAGTTAACATCTCCTGGCCACCGTGATGATGATGATGGAGAGACACGCAAATTCCAAATATACAGCAGCAGGCATCGTCAGGGTCGGGATTGAACACACGGCCTCCTGTAGACCAGGCGAGGTAGTCAACATCTCCTAGCCACCGTGATGATGATGATGATGAGAGAGACACGCAGACTCCAAATATACAGCAGCAGCAGCAGGCGTCAGGGCCGGGATCGAACCCACGACCTCCTGTACACCAGGCGAGGTAGTCAACATCTCCTAGCCACCGTGATTATGAGAGAGGGAGACGAAGACTCCAAATATACAGCAGCAGGCATCGTCAGGGTCGGGATTGAACACACGGCCTCTTGTATACCAGGCGAGGTAGTTAACATTTTACCACTGCAGCACCTACAGCAAGGCGCCATCCAGTCTACATTAACCACACGTCATGCGTGTGCTAAAACATGCACATGGGCCACCGCTCACGCGCACAAAGACAAAGATCCCCCGTGTAGCCTCAACAGACTGCTGGGGCAAGTGCTGTTAGTAGCGAGTAGCAGCACCTACGAAGGCCGGCACGGCACACGAGGGGGTGGGTGGCCAACAACCACGCCAGGCCGCCTTTGTCTCCCCCGGTGGCGATGTTTACCACGCACCGCACCAGGTACTCAGTTGAGGCTGAGTCGACCCAGGGGCGGCCCAGGACCGGTTAAGATAATCGTCACCGGTGTTGGCGGCCGAGAGCGGGAATCGAGTTTGTAGTGAAGTGTCGATCCGCCCGCTGGCAGGAGGTCACGGGGCAGACCCAGCAGGTGCCACGGGTCGACTGACTGAGATGACTGGCTGACCGAAGCCACCACTTGTGCCCCCCTACTGTGCCAGGCTAGGTGCAGGAGGAGGCCGTGGGACAGACCCAGCAGGTGCCATGGGGTCCACTGACTGAGATGAGTGGCTGAAGCCACCAGCTGCGCTCTTCACTGTGCCAGGCTAGGTGCAGGAGGAGGCCGTGGGACAGACCCAGCAGGTGCCATGGGTTGACCCGACTGAGATGACTGGCAGATTACACCAACTGTGCCGTGCCCCCTACTGTGCCAGGCTAGGTGCAGGAGGACGCCGTGGGGCAGACCCAGCAGGTGCCATGGGTCAACTGACTGAGATGACTGGCAGATGACACCACCTGTGCCCTCCACTGTGCCAGGCTAGGTGCAGGTGAGCGGCCAATGCACCGCACCCCCACACGGCAAACTCACCTGGGTGAGGTATTCCAATCCTGGGGGGCAGTTTGGAATCATGGCAGGGGCATTCATCCACTGCATGGCTGGAGAAGGGGGGAGGGGGGTGTGGGGGGAGGGGTGAAGAGGGTGGGGAGATCTCACGTTAATCCAGCAAGTCATCATAATCGTCGTCACCATCATAGCCACCACCATCATCATCATCAGGTTGATATTGAGAAGGATGATGTTGGTGATGTTGGTGGTGTTGGTGGTGATGATAATCGTGTTTGGCGGTAGTGGGGATGATGGTGATGATGATGGTGATGATGATGATGGTGGTGTTGATGGTGGTGATGATGGTGTTGGTGATGATGGTGATGATGGTATTGGTGGTGTTGGTGGTGATGATTGTGTTTGTGGTGATGATGGTGTTGATGGTGGTGATGGTGTTGGTGATGATGATGTTGGTGGTGATGATTGTGTTGGTGGTGGTGATGATGATGATGGTGGTGGTGGTGATGGTGTTGGTGGTGGTGATGGTGGTGATCATGATGGTGGTGATGATGATGATGGTGGTGATGATGATGGTGGTGATGTTGATGATGGTGATGTTGATGATGGTGGTATTGGTGGTGATGTTGGTGATGATGGTGGTGATGATGGTGATGATGATGGTGGTGTTGGTGGTGATGTTAGTGACGGTGATGATGGTGGTGTTGGTGGTGTTGGTGGTGATGTTGGTGATGGTGATCATGTCTCACCCGCCATGATGTCTTAAGAGTCTTCACTCACAGGCTGCTCAGAGATATGCGATCCGGTCTGAAAACACAAAGACAAAGATCCCCTGCGTAGTCTTAACAGATTGTTGGGGCAAGTGCTGTTAACGAGTAGCAGCAAAGATGAAAGTGGGTGGCCAGCACCAGCCGCTTGTGACTCCCCAGTGGCGATGTTTACACACCGCACCAGGTACTCATTTGAGTCTGAGTCAATCTAGGGGAGGCCGTGAGCGGGAATCGAACCCAGGTCGATACAGACAAACACACAGACACACACACAGACACACACACAGACACACAGAGACACACACACACACAGAGACATACACACACACGGAGACAAAGACATACAAAGACCCCCCGTGTAGCCTTAACAGACTGTAGGGGCAAGTGCTGTTAGCGAGCACCTATTAAGGCCGGCACCGCACACGAGCGGGTGGGTGGCCAGCACCACGCCCGACCGCCTTTGTCTCCCTAGTGGCAATGTTTACACACCGCACCAGGTACTCATTTGAGGCCGAGTCGACCTAGGGGAGGCCCAGGACCGGTTCAGATAATCGTCACTGGGTGTTGGCCGTGAGTGGGAATCGAACCCGGGTCGCCAGGTTCGTAGCGCAGCGCGCTAACCGCGACACCACCGCTCCCCACACACAGTCACGCACACACAGTCACACACACACAGTCACACACACAATCACACACACATTCACACACACAATCACACACAGACATACACAACAACAACAACCGCCATTCGCCACTAAGTGGCGGTGACGTCACCACGACGCTTGTGCCAGGCTATGTGCACCCTGAGGCCACGTGAAGTGTCGAACGCCCGCTGGCAGGAGGTCACGGGGCAGACCCAGGTGCCACGGGTCGACTGACTGAGATGACTGGCTGATGCACCACCTGTGCCCCCTACTGTGCCAACCCGCTGTGCTTTAGCCACTCGGCGCTCCGCTCGTTGTTGTGAGCGTCGCTCCTCCGCCCTCCGTTGTTGTTGGAGGGCGACTACCTCCAACTGCCCAGTAGCATCCTTCACCAGCCTCCTCCACAGAGGCCGATCTTGACACCGCTGGTACCAGTCATCGGCAAGTCCACTAAGCTCCACGTCCTCCTGTACCACATCACTCCATCTCTTCTCTAGCCCGTGCCGCGCCCGCTTTGCCCCCTCAATCCGGCCGAACAAAAGCTGTTTCGGCATGCGGTGGCTGGGCATGCGGGCTACATGACCCAGCCATCGCACACACAGACATACACACACACAGACATACACACACAGACATACACACACACAGTCACACACACACAGACATACACACACAGTCACACACACACAGACATACACACACACAGTCACACACACACAGACATACACACAGTCACACACACACAGACATACACACACACACAGTCACACACAGACACACACACAGTCACACACACAGACATACACACACAGACAGACATACACACACAGACAGACATACACACACACAGTCACACACACACATTCACACAGTCACACACACACAGTCACACACACACACAGTCACACACACAGACATACACACACACAGACGCTACGACATCATCACCACCACCACCCCGCACCTCCCATCGAGAGTGAGCACGTGGTGCACGTTCGTCACCGATGGCCACGATAGTGGTGCAGGCCTCTTTGTTTATATAAACAGGAGGACCTTCACGGCGCTAAGATGTTGACTGCCTCGCCTGGGGTGCAGGACGTCGTGGGTAGGAAATGTTGACTACCTCGCCTGGTGTGCAGGACGTCGTGGGTAGGAGATGTTGACTACCTCGCCTGGTGTGCAGGACGTCCTGGGTTCGATCCCGACCCTGACGACGCCTGCTGCTGCTGTATATTTGGAGTCTGTGTCTCTCTCCCATCATCATCATCATGGTGGCTAGGAGATGTTGACTCCCTCGCCTGGTGTGCAGGACGTCGTGGGTAGGAGATGTTAACTACCTCGCCAGGTCTATAGGAGGTCGTGGGTTCGATCGCGACCCTGATGATGCCTGCTGCTGCTGCATATTTGGAGTCTGCGTGTCATCATCATCATCACGGTGGCTAGGAGATGTTGACTACCTCTACTGGTATACAGGAGGTCGTGGGTTCGATCCCGACCCTGACGCCTGCTGCTGTATATTTGGAGTCTGTGTCTCTCATCATCATCATCACGGTGGCTATAAGATGTTGACTACCTCGCAAGGTCTACAGGAGGCCGTGGGTTCGATCCCGACCCTGATGCCTGCTGCTGTTGATTTGGAGTCTGCGTCTCTCTCTCTCATCATCACGGTGGCTAGGAGATGTTGACTACCTCTACTCGTCTACAGGAGGTCGTGGGTTCGATCCCGACCCCTGACGCCTGCTGTATATTTGAAGTCTGCGTCTTTCTCTCATCATCTTCATCATCAGGGTGGCTAGGAGATGTTGACTACCTCGCAAGGCCTACAGGAGGCCGTGGGTTCGATCCCGACCCTGACATCTGCTGCTGTATATTTGGAGTCTGTGTCTCTCATCATCATCATCACGGTGGCTAGGAGATGTTAACTACCTCGCAAGGTCTACAGGAGGTCGTGGGTTCGATCCCGACCCCTGACGTCTGCTGCTGTGTGTCTGGAGTTTGTGTGTGTGTCTCTCATCATCATCAAGGTGGCTAGGAGATGTTGACTACCTCGCAAGGTCTACAGGAGGTCGTGGGTTCGATCACGACCCCTGACGTCGCCTGCTGCTGTGTGTCTGGAGTTTGTGTGTGTCTCTCTCTCGTGCTCTCCCCACGGTCGCGCGGATTTCAAATCGTTCCACATGAAGGAATCAACGTCACAGCGTTTAGAGTGTTTGACTGATGCTGCTGCTCTACATTTCCACTTGATGATTTGTGATCTCCAGGGTCGCATCTGAATTTTTGTTTTTAGCTACGTAGCTAAGTGGCCCTTACCCGGGAAAATAATAAAAACAAAAAAGACGTGATAATAGCGAGCGATATTTACTTACGTTTTAAAAATAAGCGATGACTGGGTTGGCCCACTTCTCGCCCTGCACTGAAACTAAACTTGTGATTTAAAGCTTTCGTGACTGCAGTGATTCATATTCTTGGTTCTTTCGGTAAAGTCACCACCACGTTGAAGGGAAACAATAAAATAATAACATATATAAAACAAGATATTTTATTATTATTTTAATAATAAAGCAATAAATTTTTATTTTATCATTATTTTATTTTATTATTTTATTGTTTCCCTTCAACGTGACTTTACCGAAAGAACCAAGAATATAAAACTAAACTATTTTTTGTTTGTTTTGCCCGGTAAGGCCGCCCTGAGCAGGGATGGAGCTCTCTGCTCGCCACCGCAAACGATAGATCACACCAAGCGAGGGATTTTCATCGTCATCATCATCATCATCGTCGTCGTCCTCACGTGGAAATGTATAGCGGGAGCTAAAATACTCAGTAAACGCCGTGGGTGACGTCGATTCTGAATGTGGAGGGAGGTAAACGCGGGAGGACCCGGGGAGACAAATCCACGCCACCACCACGGGGAGAGAGACAGAGAGAGAGAGACACGCAGATCGAACTCACGACCTCCTCCTGTACACCAGGCGAGGTAGTTAACATCTCCTAGCCACCGTGATGATGATGATGAGAGAGAGAGAGAGACGCAGACTCCAAAAATACAGCAGCAGCGGCAGGCATCGTCAGGGTCGGGGTAGAACCCACTACCTCCTGTAGACCAGGCGAGGTAGTTAACATCTCATAACCACCGTGATGATGATGATGGGAGAGAGACGCAGACTCCAAATCTACAGCAGCAGGCATCGTCAGGGGTCGGCATCGAACCCACGACCTCCTGTAGACCAGGCGAGGTAGTCAACATCTCCTAGCCACCGTGATGATGATGATGATGAAAGAGAGAGAGACGCAGACTCCAAATATACAGCAGCAAGCATCGTCAGGGTCGGGGTAGAACCTACGACCTCCTGTATACCAGGCGAGGTAGTCAACATCTCCTCGCCACCGTGATGATGATGAGAGAGAGAGAGAGACGCAGACTCTAAATAAAGAGCAGGAGGTCAGGGTCGGGATCGAACCCACGACCTCCTCCATACCAGGCGAGGGATACGACACCACACCATCATGGCATACCCCTGAAACAAATAAATAAAGAGTTCCCCTTTTTAACGACGGCAATCCTACGCATCTCTGTGCGTCTCCGGAAGTCTATGAATCTCTACGGGTCCCTGTGTGTGTATGTTGAGCTTCTATCGGGAGCGGTGGGTGTGGTGGTTAGCGCTACGCTGCGCTACGAACCTCGCGACCCGGGTTCGATTCCCGCTCGCGGCCACCAACACGAGGTGACGATTGTCTGCACCGGTTCTGGGCCTCCGCTAGGTCGGCTCAGCCTCAAATGAGTACCCGGTGCGATGCGTAAACGTCGCCACTGGGGGAGACAAAGGCGGCCGGGCGTGGTGCTGGTAGCCACCCCACCCCCTCGTGTGCCACAGTGCCGGTAGCCTTCGTAGGTGCTGCTACTCGTTACTAACAGCACTTGCCCCTACGGTCTGTTGTAGGCTGTACGGGGGACCTTTGTCTGTGTCTACCTTCATAGGTGCTGCTACTTGCTACTATCAGCACTTGCCCCTACGGTCTGTTGTAGGCTGTACGGGGACCTTTGTCTGTGTCTACCTTCATAGGTGCTGCTCGCTACTAACAGCACTTGTCCCAGCAGTCTGTAGAGGCTACATGGGGGATCTTTATCTGTGTCTACCTTCATAGGTGCTGCTACTCGCTACTAACAGCACTTGCCCCTACGGTCTGTTGTAGGCTACACGGGGGATCTTTATCTGTGTCTACCTTCATAGGCGCTGCTACTCGCTACTAACAGCACTTGCCCCTACGGTCTGTTGTGGGCTATACGGGGGATCTTTGTCTTAAATGTTGACTTGAAGCTTTCGCGACTGCAGGAATTCATATTCTTGATCCGTTCGGTAAAGTCACGTGGGTAGAACATAAAATAAAATAA